CAGTCAGAGGCCAAGGTCATGGGGTGGGTGCAGTTGGGCATCGAAGTGGCCTTTGGGGTAAGCTAACTGGTACTATTTTGTGATGGCTGAGGGTTTTGAGGACGAGAAATGCAACTTCCTATCAATTTTTGCATGATTGGTGGCGGAACCATGTGGAAATACTTCAGAGACATTTAAATGCTCTCAAGGTCAAGGTTAGTTTACTTGGCTTCGCTACACACCTCTTCAAGTTTGCATCTTTTAAGTCTGAAATAGATGTTTAGAAAGCTGAGGGATTTCTGCTTTTATTTTAAAATATTTTAGCAAAATAATAACTAGTGTCATTTCTATAGAATATCTACCATTAAGCCACTTAACTTTTTTTCCTCAGAATATTAATACAGTTTTTTTTTAGTTTTATTTTTTATGATGTTTACATAGTTGCTTATTGTGGGAGGGGTCAAGGGTTAGAGGAAAGCGGTTGAGACCATAGTTTCCACACTTTCTTTTTCTTCTTCCTGTATCTGGGGGAAGAGGAAGAGATAAGGGGAAAAGCCATACCCAGCCTCCTAGCCTCCTCAGCACCCAGGGATGGAGAATGGCCACCTGATGTCATCCCAGGGTACCCGATGCGGAGCATGCTCCAAGGGATCTGCTCAAGTGGTTTCAGTAGTTCTGAAATGCTGTCTGTCTCACCGATCCAAGGATAAAGAAACCCTTCCAAGTTCCATTGGCTGACATAGTCCACTTAGAGTCTCCACTCCCCCAGATATTTGCTGTCAACACTTAGCTGGGGTCGTTGTCCAATTTGTTCTGCCTTCCTTCCTCCACTACTATGGTACCAGATGTTCTTGGCAGGCCCCAGTACACATCTGGGCCTGTTGTCTACTGCTCTACCTGAGCCACTGCGGAGGACCAGTTCTGACACGTGCACTCTACAGTCAGACCACAGCTCCTACAGCTCTTTCCATGGTTAAATTCTGAATCCATTGGCTGTTTCCCCAAAGAAACCTCATCTGAAGTGATCTCAGACCTGACTCATGTGTGCTATGCAGTACATGGTCTGCTCTGTCTGTCACCCACATGTGCCTACGCACGCACTGGTGGTTGCAGTTGTTGGATTAGTTCTGTCTCCAGCCCTGTCTCTTACATAAACCAGTGGATGCCGTGACTCAGAGCAACCCTTGCCCACCACACACTCAGCCCTCACATATACCAGTGGGAAATGTAGTGTAGTCAGAGCGACCCCCAGCAGCCCCGACTAGGCCCGGACCCAACCCTGGTTCCTTTGTGTGTCTGTGTGTGCAGCAGAGTGGTGCAGTCTGTCCTACATCCCATTCTGCTGTTAGACACATCAATGAGTGTTGACACCTAGCTCATCCCACCAACCCCCCTGTCTAGTTCACCTTGATGGAGGCCACCGCCTGTCTAGCTGGATCCTCCCCTAGCCCTGGTTCTCCTGCTCACCAGTGGGAATTACAGCCTATAGGAGAGTTTTCCTACTGGACCCACTCCCAGACTCGGATCTTGCCCTCTCCAGGTGGTTCTGCAGTCTAACTTGACAGGATTTGCCCCCTGTTCCTAGCTGCTCATACTCTGGCTCATGCATGCACCAGTGGGTCCAGTAGGTTAGCCCAGCCTGACTTTCCTCCTAAGTCAGTTCACATGTAGACCAACAGGTGTTGTATCCCTGCCTGGCCTGGTCTGCCCCCATCCCAGTTCTTCCACTCACCAGTGAGTGGTCCAGCAGGGGAACCCCCCACTGCAGCACCTCTGCTAGACTCACAACACCCTCACCCCCCACCCCAGTCTCATGTGTTTTTGTGGGTGCTGCTGCCCAGACTGGCATGGTCTGCCTTACCTCAGTGTTTGCTAGCAGATGCTATAGCCTGACCTAGTTCCAGCTCATGCTGGTGGGTGCTACAGCCTAGCTCGGCCAGTCCCCAGTCCCAGCCCTGATGTGAAATGCTGGTATTGTGGCCTGACCTAGCCTGTCCTGCACCCTTTCCTGGTTCTCACATTTGCCAGTGGGTGTTATGAACTGGCTCAGCCTGCCGCACCCCCTGACCTTACCCACACGTGTGCTGGTGGGTCATGTAACATAACCTGGGAGGTGTTTACAGCCTTGGTTCTTGTGCTCACCTGTAGGGATTGCATCCTGACAGAGCAGTTCCCCAAGCTGCTCTCTCAGGTCTCCTAGTGGCAGATCTCACGCACAGTGGTGAGTTCTTGGCCCAGCCTGACTTAGTCCACCTCCTGTTCTGGCAGGAATAGTGGCCCTGCCCAACCAGCTCACACCCTGCTTGGAGGTGCTGCAGCCTAGTCCTGCCCAGTCTGCTCCCATCCCTGGCTCATACAAACTGTGATAGCCTTGCCTGGCATGACCCACACTACAGCCTGACTCCTGAATTATCTGCCCCTCCATCCTGGCCTTTGTATGAGGTGGTTGATTTTGCGGCCTGGCCCGCCCCACACCCTATTCTTGGGTGCGCCTGCAGGTACTGCAGGCTGGACCAGCCTGACCTTTTCCCAACCCTATTGCCCATGAGTGTCAGAGAGTTCCATGGTCATGCCTAGCTCACCCCTTTGCTACTCTTAAGCAAATCAGGAGAAATTGCAGTTCCATGGGGGTGGGCATACAAATCCCCCACAGAATCTGCACTCCCCCCTAGACTTAGTTCACTTGTGTGCTGTTTATGCCTAAGCCCAGCCTAACGTTACTCATCCCCTGTTCTGATTCTCACTTATGGGTACTCTGATCTAGCCCTCCTAGGTAGGCCCTCAACCCTAGCTTTACTATGCAGTGGTGATTGGTGGTCAGTTCAGGTCTCCCCTGTGGGCTGGTCCATTGATTTGACATGTAAAGGTCCCCCTTCCCCCTCTAAATCATTCAGTCTCAGTCCCCTCACTTACTGGCAAGTACAGTATCCTTGTCAATGAAAGTCCTTCAGAAGTCGTTACTCACCTGCCACATACGCCCTCAGCAGTCCTCCCTCCTGTAAGTCTCCTTGCCCTTTTTGCTGATGAATCCACAGTCCTGCACCTGGGAGTGCAAGGGTTCCGCACCCCAGCCATCTGAAGCCCAGTCTTCTGGTGGAGTGGTGAGCTGCACTGAAGCTCTGCCCACCCACTAGGGTCTCAGGCTCCTGGCATCTGTGCTGGTCTGGGAGCTTACGGTTTCACACACCCAAGATCCAGGCCCATTCAAAATTCCCCATGCCCCATCTACCAGCACACCAGGCCAGCATGCTAACCTAGGGCTCTCCCCTCCCCTTCCGTACCTGCCTGGGACCAGCATGCGAGGAAATACCCAGGCTCCCTCTGCAAATCCCTCAGGCCCCCTGCAAGTCTGCACCCCCAGCCCCACTATCCCGCTGCCCCCAGACATGCTCAGTGCAAATGGCAGTGGCCGGTTACTTTTGTAATAGATGAGAAAAAGGTTTGATGTTTGTATATGAATTTTTGAATTTTTTTCATGTATTGAGGTATATAGCTAGGAACTCTATTAACAGAAGCAGGTTATTCATTAGCCTTGTGTTTCAATATTTTGTGATTTGGAGTGCTGATCTCAGAATTTAATGCCAGTTTACATTTCTCATTTGGTTACATTGGACTTTCTTTCTTTGTGCATGTGACGTATCAACAACTAAGAATATTCATGAACACAGAGCCATGTAGTAGCTCCGTAGTATCGCGTCGTCAGCTGTCAACCTGTGGGTAACGCTATTTTCAATGCCCTTCTCACAGCCCCTCTGTATATAGGTGGTTGCTCAAATACCAGGTACACTGTAAGACATTTTCATTTTAGTTGAAAACATATTACAGTGCATATGCTCGCTGATTCACTCGGGATTGGATGTCTGGACACTTGAAGTGTGTAGGTGGTCAGGGTCTTGGTGATGAGACCACTGACAGTGACTTTTGATGAGTGTCCCATCCAAAATGTAACAACACAAACTGTGTCTTGGCTCTGACATTGTTAACCAACACTTCTCCCCCATTCATAAGATGTCATGATATCGTAAATACTGTGCACACATGGAAGATTTTGGGAGAGGAGTGCGTGGAAGGTGTGAGTGAAAGTCCCCGTGTCGTCTGCTGCCAGTGACAGTAACGATGGGGCAGGCGTGGTGTCTTGGAGCTGAGAGCGGAGGCATCTGCTAAGTTTTGTACTGACACTCAGAAACACATCGTCATCAAGAGGTCTTGAATATTCATTCCTCTCACCAGAGAGAAGTTTTCCCCGATAAAAGGGATGCTTGTAACTCTGCCTTTCAAATAAATGAATCTTTTTTTTTTCCTTAGAGGTGGATTCATTTGGTGCAGAAACATTTAGAAATCCATACATATGCGGGACCTACAAAAAGTTCACGTGAAATATGTATTATTAATAAAAACCTTGCATGGTTTCTGAATGTAGTGCACCAAGATAAAGTTATTTCTAATTCCATTTTCCATAAATGATGTGAAGTACTGAGTTAGTTATGTGGTGAGGTAGAAGCTGTGAGCTGATGGCTCTTGACAGCTCAGAGCACGTTGTCCCCTTGGTTTGGGGCTGGCAGGTGTAATGAGGCAATAGCTAGAATTTATTGCACACCTCTTATTTGATCAGTCACTGTACCAGATGATTTTATGTAATCTAATCTTTAACATCTTACAGCTCCATGAGTAATTGTTTTTGTCCCTTTTCAGGTGAGGAAATTGAAATCCAGAGAAGACAAGTAACTTGTCAAAGTTAGGTGGCTGCTTGTGCTCACATTGCTAAAGGCATGTGTCCTTTACACGAGCGAATGATTGGTTTGGGTCTGTGGGTGCTTGTGTTTGAGCACTGGTTCCGATGAGACCCTGGTGTGTCTGAAGGTCCTTGTCTCTCTGTCAGCGGAATCACTGCACTGGGATTAGGGCTCTGGGCCATGGCTTGTGAGGAAGCTCTTAGTCGATGCTAGGTGTTCTTGATGGTTGCCTGTTTAGTTGCATTGCTGGTTGCAGATATTGGGTTTCATTCTTTGGTTTTAATGCAGAGAGAAGAGGAGCAGCAGGAAGAGAATGCTGGTTTGGTGAAGAGCACAGGGGAAAATGAAGATGGGAAAAGAAGAGCTATGATAACTCCGGCTCTGCGTGAAGCTCTTACTAAGCAAGGTGAAAACGTGTGACTCATTGTTAAGCATTCCGATTTAATCCTTGGGAGAGAGCCCTATTGAGACAAAACACTTGTGTCCTGTACATAAAGCTTGATGGATCCTGTGCGTGCTTGGGGCAGATACCCATCCCAGCCTGCTGTGAGCAGCAGGTACACCTGTAATCCTTCCAGATGGTTCTTTCCCATTCTTGGACAGTTTTTCTCTTGCAGGTGTGTTGTTCAGGCACAGAACTGATAGGAATCCTCTGAAGACTTTTGGATTCCTTTTGGTGTAGTGTTTATCTCTGTACTCCATCCTGCAAACCGTTGCTTCCCCCAGAGACTCAGCTGGCTCCTAAGCTGAGGGAGACCTTTGGCTTCTCCCTGCCACAGGGCCTGGACACTTCCCAGACTTGAAGCTGGGATAGTGCTGGATTCATCAGCAGCCACTGTCCTTTGCTGCTTGCTGCTGGCTCTTCTGAAAGCCGTGCTTTCCTGTTTCTCATGTACGTTTTCTTATTTCAAGAGGGAAAGTGAATTTTGTCTGTTATTCTGTCTTGGCTAAGAGCAGAATTCTGCACTGTGGTTTTCAGCCATTGTGTACTCTTGGCTCAATCTTGACATTGTGGGCAACTACAGAGCTTTCCATGCCGTAGTGTACAGCTTTTCCATATCTAAGTGTAAAATCTTAGGCAATCTTCTGTATCTCAGGAGAAAACGATTTAAAGAACTAATATAATAGAGCATGATTTCTGTACGAATAAAAGTAGCAGCATAGTATAGGAGTCCAACACAAGAAATAAGATTTTCTCTGTGTCCTTTAAAATAGTTATTTTGAATTAAGATTAATTATTCAATTGAATGTATTTACATCTTTAAGTAGATAAACAGTGCTGTATTCATATGCTAGATGTTTACATAAATTTGAGGGAGGCTCAAAGACAAAGCCCTGTAGCTGTTGCCACTAGAGACCTGTAATCCAAATTGACATGGTTCATTAATTGTCACAAATGCAGTTGCGTGTTTAACCAGCCTCTGATCCACTTAGGCCATCATCTGGCTGTGGTGCTCAATTTGCCTTGTCTGCAAGAGGGTTTTTATGCCAGACTCATGATCATTGTGTCTTATTACTTGAAACATCATGAGAAACTTCAGTGAATGATTCTGGAATCTGTTTGTTCTACTCGTTTGCTCTGTTTATCTGTACTCGTCATGTCTCATGCGGATCAGACATTTTAAGCGATAGCTTGTAGAGTACTACTCAGAATAAATATGTAAATTAGCTACTGGAATCTAATTTCTCCTTTTGGATCATTATTTCTTTGTTTTAATCAGTTGTCCATCTGATTATTATTATTTTTGTTTTTAAAGATTGCTGGTGACAGCAAACTCTCCCCCACGTGAAGCTAGAAGCGTTACTGAGTCTGCCCTATGAGATCTGTTAGATACTAAGACGTTGACGTTTCTTCATATGATTAAGGGTTACCTAGTTTTCTTTTAAAATGTATTGTATGTTTTTAGATGTATTTTCATTTTAAATTGTTTTCTCATCTTAATGAAATTTTTACTGTTTCCTGCTGTGAGGCTGTTGCCTGCCATAATGCAAGCCAAAAAAATGTCTTTGTTCAATTCTGATATTATCTTTTGAGTTGAAGTTTTAGGTTGCTTTAATTTTGTGTTCCCTGCTTTTCTGTTCAGGTTATCAGCTGATTGGGAGCCACTCAGGGGTGAAGCTTTGCAGGTGGACAAAGGTAATTTTGTTTGTTTGTTTTTAATTCAGGTGTTATTTCTATTATATTTAGCTATCCTATTGCTATTTTACCATTTAGAAATACAATTTTTGTTTAATCAGTTGAATAGGTTTTGGGCGAATTTTTAAAATGAAATCAAGAGATTTTGATGGATATAAAACCCTATCAACTCTAATTAAGATACAAATATTTTCTTTCCTCAGTAAACCTAGCGGTGCTCTTTACGGTACACTGTCTCCTAGCCTCATCTCCTAGCAACCGTTGTCCTAACTGCCGTTGCTATTCTTTAGTTTTACCTTTCTAGAATTTCATGTGTATTGAATTTATAGTGTGCAATCTTTAGAGTGACTTTTGAAATCCAGTATTACCATTTTTCTGAGCTGTTTTCATGCAGCAGCACTCATTACTAGTTCATTTATTTTTATTGCTCAGCAGTATTCCATTGTATGAATCTGTTAGGTTTTTTCTTCTGCATGTAGACATTTGGTCTGTTTTCAGTTTTGGCTGTCGTGGGTAAAGCCTCCATGATCATACAGATGTACGTTTGGTTTTCCCAGGAGAGTCTTAGTAACTTGGTATTTTCAGCCACTCGAGGCGTAGTCAACGTTTTCCGTGGTGAGGGCACCGCTTGTCAGCGTCAGTGTGTGAAGGTTTCGTTGTCTGCACCTGCCCCACGGGAGTTGATTGCAGCAGTTCTAGAGACTGTGAATTCATGGATGCTTTGATTTGTGTTCCCAGCTGATGATGCTGAGATGCTGAGAATCTCTGCCTATTGGCTGTTTATAGATATTCCGGGTAGAGTGTCTCCTCCTCTTGTGCCCATCTTTACTTGGAGTTGCTTGTCTTGTCATTGGCTCGGCAGAGTTCTTTCTGTGTTCTGGGTAGCGGGCCTCTCCTGCCACTGTTGCTGCCTGCATCCCCAGGCCCTAATGACTACAGGCCCACAGCTGCGCTGCAGCCTCTGGGGACGCTGGACCTCCAGCCTGTCCTGTCCTGGGTCAGGCTCCCCGAGCAGAGCTGGACTCTGCCTCATTGCTATTGTTATCTAGTTCAAATTTAACCATTCTAAAGAAACCAACCCATCTCTTACACTCTTGACTTTTTAATATCCTTCATTCCTGTTCTTAAAGATTTCCACTCGAGGTTCATGCTGCTGTTGCCTGCTGACATTCCATGTCTGTATGCCCCTTCCAGTGTGATTCTGGCCTCTGCTTTCCCAGCCTTTCCTGCTGTTCCCTCTGGAACTTGTCTGGCAGCAAGCATTCCTGTTTTCTTCTGTTTTTTTTTTTTTTTCAAATGCCTCTGCCCATGTTACCATACACTGTACCAGTCCTTTTCTTGGTATCACAGTGAAGCCGTTTCTTAAGCCCCTGGTAATTTCAAACTATTGAACATGTCTGTATTGCATTCTTTGAATGCCATCTGTTCTGTAGGCTTGTTGCTCTTGTTTTTGCATCTCCAGAAAATTCTTACCTGTTTTTCCCTGTTTTCTCCATGCCTTCATCCTGAGGAGCAGTAATATTCCCACAAGTGGCACTTTGGCACTTGGTGCTATTTCATCTGTTCTTGGTAGAAACATGTACAGCCCTAATACATGTTCATTTATTTTTTAATGCTTCTCATATCTCAGATTCCTTTTTCATTTTTTTAAAGACCTATCCATTTTTATTGGAAAGTCAGGTCCACAGAGACGAAGAGAAGCATAGAGAAAGATCCTCCGTCTACTGGCTCACTCCCCAAGTGGCTGCAACAACCAGAGCTGAACTGATCTAAAACCAGGATCAGGAGCTTCTTCTGTGTCTCCCATGTGGGTATACAGTCCCAAGGCTTTTAGCCATCCTCTGCTGCTTTCCCAGGCCACAAGCAGTGAGCTGGAAGGGAAGTGTAGCAGCTGAGATATAAACCTGCACCCATATGGGATCCTGGCCCAGTGCATGTAAGGCAAAGACTTTAGCTGCTAGGCTACCATGCCAGGGCATCAGATATGTTTTTTGCTGTCCACTGATTTTTCAGTAATATCAGACGCAGTGTCTTCTTTTTAGCCATTATTTTACAATATTTCTTTTACTAGTATTAAGTATGGACAAGTTTAATGTCACATTATTTTTTAAGATCTGTTTTGTGCAAAGTATAATAAGAGAAAAAGGAAATTACCTTTTATTGAACACTATACATTTGAGTATGTAGCTACTCTGATACTATAATGACTTAGTTAGACGCTTGTACCTACTATAATGGATAAGTTTAGATTTAGAAGAAATAAAAAGATTACAAGGTATTTTGTACAAGAATTAACAAGATGCTAGGTTTACTTACATATGATAATACAAGAAAGGGCATATCCTTAGTTGAAATATGACTAGCAGACCAAAAAATGAACTCACATTGGAGAAAATAAGAAAGGAGTATATATTGGTAAATTAAACCAAGTCTCTTTTACGTGAATCCAAATAATTTTCTTCATTGTGTCTTAGTAGTATTGGATTATTACCAGAAATGCATTTCCTGTTCGAAAATCTCACATGTCACTGAGACATGCATACATCCCATCTCCAATGTATAAGACACTTTAGATTCTGTATTCTTTTAGCAGAAGTGGGAATGGAAGGCAGATTGAAAATAAATTGTAGTAAATGAAGCTGAAAGGCATAAATTAATCAACTTATGGTGATTGCTTTGCAATAAAATTTTTAAATGACAGGGATCCAGGAAATAGTTTCTACAGTCATTGTTACAAGATACATTTTTGATCAATATGCTGACTCTGTGCCTTGCTAATAACATGTACAATAGCAATAACTTTCTCTAAAAAAAGTTTTATTTTATAAATGCAAAGTGAAATTCAGAGCTATTTTTTTTTTATTTTACTTTATAAATGCAAAATGAAATTCAGAGTTACAGAGAAAAAGAGAGGGAGAGAAAGAGATCTTTTATCTGGGTTCACTCCCCAACTGGCCGCAGTGGCCAGAGCTGGGCTGATCTGAAGCCGGAAGCAGGAGCTTTTCTGGTCTCCCAATTGGGTGCGAGGACCTAAGAGCTGGGTCATCCTGCACTGTCTCCCAGTTTACCCAGTGTGAGTAACAGAGATAAAACTAGACTGGGGAGAAAACCTGAGGGAGAGCCTTAGGGATCTGTAAGATGGTAACAGGCGATGTGGCGCCGATGTCTTTGCAAGAGCGAAAGGAGAATGAGAAGAGTGTGGTGCTGGAGGGATCCAGGCGTGCAGCCCCGCACCCTGGAGGCATTCTGGGAAATGCGTTGTCAGGTGAGCGGCTTCACATGGCCTCTCTGCACAATCAAGATACGTGCTAAACACACGTGGTGTGTTGGTGCTGCCAGCATAACATGTCATACTGTTTCATAATGAAACTTGTGATTTTTTTTGTAAGCAGAAAGAATATACTGTAAAATACGTATGTCATTAAGCACATATATAAGCTGGGAAAATTCTATTATTATCTGGTATTATGTACTGTACAGTATTATATGTGCTATAGTTTTAGTGACTTTCAGTACAGCAGTTTTGTTTGTGCTAGCATCACCACAAACATGTGGCTAATATATCACTCTGAAGTTATGATGGCTATTATGTCATTGAGCACTAGAAAGTTTTTAGCTCCGTTGTTATGGTATGGAACTGTTTCTATGTTCCATCTCTGACTGAAATGTTATGCAGTTCATAAAGAAATAATGGCAAATCTGTAAATTTAGGAATCTGAATGAATCCAAACCAGGTTAAAAGCAGAGGCACACACCAAAATAGTTTGTTGATGTGAGGGAAAGAACAAGTCTGAAAAGCTGTTACAGAGGAATGATATAGTACCCACCGCTTAGCACCAGTTTAAATGCTAGCAGGTTTCTCTTTTGAAACCAAAGAGGAAAAGAAGAAACGGCACCACATTTACTCAGAAGCCAGTAAGAAGTTGAAATTCCAGTTCATTAAGAGTCACTCTGAAAATTATGTACTTAGATTTACATTTAACAAAAGATGCAATAATGGATGTTGAAAGTTACTATGTGTGATAAAACACATTCATGAGAATCTAAAATGGAAAGAGCTATCGTGATCATGGCTCAGCATGGCAAGATGACATTTCTTCCCAGGTTTTTCTGTAGAATTAATGCATAGCTACCATTGTAGAAGTAGAAAAACATATTCTAAAATTTACTGAAACAATACAGAGAAGAGCGAAACAGCAATAGAGCATTCACTCTGGTATTGTATTTGACCCTATTGCTGCAATAGTCAAGACTGGGGAGACTGATACATAGGTCAATGGAAAGAATAACCATCTCTGAAATTAGAATCAGGACTTCATTTAACTGTTCTCTTTTCCAAAGATGAAAAAGCTGTTCCATGGTGAAAAGTTTAGCTTTATAACGAAGTGCTGGAGTACTAAATATCCATGGATGAAAAGCAAACAAGCAAACCAACCCACCTACACACCAGCCAGCCAATGGTAGCCCTCTGCCCTCCCCCAGAAGAAAAGTGTTATCCTAGGCCTCACAATTATTAGAAATTTCAATTCAAGATGGACCATGGATGCCAATAAACTGTAGAAAATAGTAGTTTTTAAAAAATATATAGTAAAAATAAAGGCCTTGGCACCTCCTCTCACCCATTCAGTATTCAGTTTGAGCGTCACCTTTGGGGAGCTCTCCTGGAAGACTGTGGCCTCAGTTGCTGTTCCGTGCATCCCATCTGCTCTGTTCCCCAGGGGATCTGTATGCAGAGGGATCTCTGGTCTCTGTTCTTGTAAAGACATGAGTAGTCTGGGCTATCCACATTAGAGGCCCACCCTTAGGACCTCATTTAATCTTGATTACCTCCTTAAAGTCTGAATGTGGTTGCGTTGGAGGTTACGACACCAGTCTGACTTGAGTGAAAGCGTGATTCAATTCATAACAACACACATTAACTCCTCAATAAAGTGTGCAGTTCGTCAACTCTGTTTCTCCAGTGTCATAGCATCTGGTGGAAATTACTATGTGGGGGGAGCAGCGTGGTGGCTGTGCACGCTAATCCCCAGCCCATAGTTCCAGCACCCTCCAGGAATGCCCGTTCTATTCAGGCTGCTCCACTTCCAATCAGGTCCCTGCTTGTGGACACATAAAGCAGCAGGTGATCACCCAAGCCCTTGGGCCCCTGCAGCCACATGAGAAACCCAGAAGCTCCTGGCTGCTGGTTTAGGGTTGGCTCTGCCCTAGCCATTAAGGCTGTTTGGGGTTGGGACCCATCGGATGAAAGACTCTGTTTGTTTCTATCTCCTCTCTCATTCTCTCCATAACTTGGCCTTTCAAATTAAAAAAAAAAAAAAAATCTTAAAGAAAAACACAGAAGAAATCGCTCTGTGATGTTGCCATCTGATGGCTTTGGTTTGGAGTTCTCAGTGCTGCACTGAGGTTTTGTATGTGACTTTGTGCATTTTATTAGGAACTTGGATGACAGTTTGCAGGCACGGATACCCTGGGGAGTAGGCTTCCTTTACTTTCTCTCTGCTGTTGTTATTGTGTGCAGAGTGTGATGGACAGGGAAACTGCTTTTGCCAGAATAAAATCTGAAAGGAGTTTATGATTCACCGGTGAAATAATTAAGCTATTAGGGATTGTAATTTTCTTTCATTGTGGGTATTATTATATTAGCACGTTGATGCATGTTTGTATGGGTATAAGCTACCCATCTGAATCTCCTCTTTCATTTTCCTTGTTTGATGCAGCAGTGACTAATATACTGCTTCAGACACAAGACCAAAGCATCAGTACCTGCCTTGCATAACTTTATTCAAGTTTCGCTGCTTGGACTTTTATAGAAATCAAATTTATCTCACAGCTTTGGGATGGATTTTATAATAACATCAAAAGTTTGATGAAATTCTGATTGCAATCATAAGTGTACCTGAGGTAGTATCTTCAGACTGCTTTCTTAGTACCTACATATGCTTCATCTCTCACATTAAATAGTGCTTTTTTAAAGTGAATAATCGTTCTTATATACATACTGTTTGTCCCCTCGACTGTTGGAAACATGTTCCAGTGGTACCTGTTGAGTTGACAGAGAGATTCTTCTAGGAGGCATTCCATACTCACTCTCCTTTATTCAAAGCAGGGATCCCTTACATATGAGCATGGCCCCACTCTTCTAGGAGCCTGTCTCTATTCCCTGTGTTATACTTTATTGTACTAATATTATTCGTGGCAGCTGAATAATAGAAGCATCATTGAAAATAGAACCATCAGTGGTTTTCTCTACAGCATTTTTGGTGTTAGAAAACAACAAGAGTCCCAAAATTATTTCCTTGAATTTTAGAAAACTGAAATCAAGAAAGCACTATAATGCAAGAATATTAATTTTCTGCATCATGCAGATAAGCAGTAATGGTATTTATGCTTCTGAAAAACATTTCTTCTTAGAAATGATGTCTTGTTTGTTTGTTTGTTTGTTTTTCTTTTTCTGTGCTTAGATCATTTTTTTCAAAATGTGGTTTCTGTCTTGTCATAGTCAATGCTCCGAGGGAGAGGAGGCTGCTATAAACACACATTTTATGGCATTGAAAGCCATCGCTGCATGGAAACCACCCCAAGTTTGGCATGTGCAAATAAGTGCGTCTTTTGCTGGCGGTAAGTAAAACTGTGGCCATGGGACTGTTTCCAGTGACTTGTAATTTCTGCCCAATGCACACTCATTTCTTAAATAATTTTTTAAAATTTCTGTGGAAAATTTGTAGTTTACATGAAAGGCATCATGAGAGAGAGACAGATATCTCCCAGCCACGGGTTTACTCTGCAACAGTGAACAACAGCCAGGGCTAGAGCAAGCTAACGCCAAGGATGTGAAACTCACTCCAGGTCCTCCGTGTGGTTGACAGGGACCCAATACTCGAGGTGCCACCATTACCTCCACAGTATGCATCCCCAGGAAGGTGTACCAGGTGCAGTGGTGGGACTTGAACCCTGGCACTCTGACCATGTTCTGTGGCATCCCAAGTGGCTTCTTAACGGCTATACCAAACGTCCATTCTTACTTCACATGTTTAAAGTAATTTAGATTATTTTTTAAATGAAATTTCAACTGTATTTTTCTAGAACATGGTGTTTGTAATGTAATTTTTTTGTTGTTGTTGTTGTTCTCTGGTGCTTGGTCCTCATTCATCTCTTTTCTTCCCTGGAGACTACTTACACTTGAGTTCCGCAACCCACTCCTGTGGGCCAACTCATGTCTCCATTGCACACATTTTGTTGTATTCGGTAGTGATTTCTCATCTGTCACTACTTCACTGAACTCCAGCAGAGCATGCCAGAGCGGGGACCACATCTTCTGTGGGGTTCATATATGCCAGTCTATTCTAGACCTTCTGTTCTCTGACCCCTCCTGGAATTTAACAGTTTTTTCCCGCGTTCCCGTGAGTTCTTCTTTGCCTCAGTCTTTAACTGAAACAATCTCTGGCTCATTTTCATCTTCTGTTATCACTGCATCTTAGCAGTGAGAGTAATATACCATCTTCTTGGCTGTATTGACTCCTGTGGCTTGACACTTAAATACCTTGTTCTTAGTCCCAGTCTCCTTAGCTTTCATTCTGCATTTTCAACCATGTTTTGTATTTGTTCTGTTTGATAACGCACAGGTACTGCAGGCCTAGCTTGTTTGGGATAGAATTCATTATGTTCTGTGTTACCGATTCTTCATTTGGGTAATGGACCACTAGCTAATGGCCTGGGCTGAATATTTCTTCTTCTTTTCTTTAATGTTTTTAATGTTTTTAAATCTGTGCCTTTCTTTATGTTCATGCTGGAAACATTTTTAATTCTTTTTTGTAAAACGTATTCTTGAGATTCATTTACTTAAAAGGTAGAGTGACACAGGATGAGAGAAAGAAAAACGAATGCATGCTCATCTCTGTATGATCCCTGGATGACAACAAATCCAGGTGTGACAGGGCAGGTAATGTGGCATGGAAGATAGACTCCCATCTGTGCTGCCACTGGCGTCCCATGTAGGATTCAGTTTCTGACCCTACTGCTACGCTCTCACACTCCTTGCCAGTGCGCCTGGAAGAGCAGCAGAACGTGACCCAAGTGCTTGGACCTTCAGCTGGAGATCCAGAGACACTTCAGCCTCCTGGCTGTGGCATGACCCAGCCCTAGCCACTGCAGCCATCTAGGGAGTGAACTAGCCGATAGAGGATTGAGCTCGCTCTCTCTGTCTCTCTCTTCTCTGTAACTCTGACTTACAAATAAATTAATTAGTAAATCTGTTTTATTAAAGATTTATTTTATTTTAACTGGAAAGGCAGATTTACAGAGAGAAGAGAAGATGAAGGGAAAGACCTTCTGTCCGCTAGTTCACTCCAAGTGGCTGCAACGGCCAGAGCTGGTCTGATCTGAAGCCAGGAGCCAGGAGGTTTCTCCTAGTGTCCCACGCAGAGGCAGGGTCCCAAATTTGGGCCATCATCTACTGCTTTCCCAGGCCACAAGTAGGGAGCTGAATAGGAAGTAGAGCAGCTGGGACTTGAACCCACACCCATGTGGGATCCAGTGTGTGCAAAGTAAGGATTTACCACTGAGGCATTGTGCAGGACCCAGTAAATAAATCTTTGGAAAACAAACAAACAAACAAACAAACTGGTGTGCACCAAGTTGAATTAAAAACCAGGAATTCCATCTTTGTCTCCCAAAAGGGTAGCAGGGACCAGAAAACCTGAGCTTCCCGTGCTGTTCCTAAGGCACATTAGCAGACGGCTGAATTGACAGTGGAGCAGCTGGGGCGGGAACCAGCAATCTATTATGGAATGATGGCATTTCAAGTAGTGACCTAACTTTGCTACAATGCTAGCCCGCATAATATATACTTCAAAATATTATATTATTTTGAGTTGAAGGTTACAAGTAAATTTTAGTAAGTAGACAGTTTTGAAATATGGAATCAATGAATAATGAAAAAACAGCTGTATTCTGAATGGATACTGCACTAGAAGGTGCAAAGAAGGTCAGAAACTGCTAGTACACAGCTTCAGTTCTCCTATAATTATTGCCACATCTTATAACTTTATACATTATGTGCCAATTAACATAGATTTATAGTTGTTTTGTACAGTTGTCTTTTTAATCATCAAGGAAACAAAGAGAAGAGTTATGGTCCAAAAATATAATGATGCTAGCTTTTGTATTTTTCTTTATCTTTTTCTTTATTTCTTTGTGTGGCTTGATTCTGTCTAATGTTCTTCTATTTGTGTCTGAAAAATTTCTATTACACAGGGTAAATGGACTCCCTCAACTTTTTTTTTTTTGTCTGTCAAGGTCTTAATAACTTTCATCTTTGAAGAATAATTTTGTCAGATACAAAATTCCTGATTGATAACCTTTTTCCTTTTTTCTCCTAAATGTGTCACATCATTACTTCCTGGCATTTCTCATTCCTGCTGAGAAATTGACTGTTAATCTTACTAAGGACTGAGGGCGGCATTATGGTGTAGCAATTTAAGCTGCTGCCTACAATGTCAGTATCCCATACAGCAACGGTTCTTGTCCCAGCTGTGACACTTCCAGTCCAGATCCTGCTAGTGTGCTTGCAAAAGCACTGGAAGACAGCCTAAGTACCTGGGTCCTTCCAACCCATGTGTGAGACAGAAATAGAGTTCCTACCCTGGCTTAGCTCTGGCCCCTTCGCAGATGATGCAGCCATTTTGGGAGGAAGCCAACGAATGGAAGACATTTTTCTTTCGCCCTTTCTCTGTTGTTGCTCTGGGTTAATTTAAATTAATAAATCTTTTTGAAAAATGTAAAAAAAAAATTCATTTTCAAAATGTATTTGTTTTTATTAGAAAGTCAGATCCACAGAGAGGGAGGATAGAAAGAAATATCTTATGTCCACTGGTTTACTCTCCAAGTAGCCACAAAGACCAGAGCTGAGCTGATCCGAAGCCAGGAGCCTCTTCCAAGGTCTTCCACGAGGGTGCAGGGTCCCAAGGCTTTGGGCCATCCTCCACTGCTTTCCCAAGCCACAATAGGGAGCTGGATGGAAATGGAGCAACTAGAATATGAACTGGTAACCATATGGGATCCCAGCAGTTACATGGCAAGGATTTAGCCACTAGCCTATCCTGCTGAGCCCTATAAAATTTTATTATAGATCACTGCCTGCCTGTTTCTTTCAAGATTCTTGTGTGTTTCAGCAGCTGAATATGATGTATGTTGTTGTTGATCTTTTTCACATTTATTTATTTTCATATGCTGTAAAGATAGTGTCAGATTTTCCATCTGCTGATTTGCTCTCTAAATAAGCTTGCAATAACCAGAACCCCAAACCAGCCCCAAATCCAGAGCTCCATGATGCTCTCCAACATAGGTTATATTATCCTAGATACTTGAGCCATTACATCTGTATTCCAGGATTTATAAATAGGAAGCTGAAATCAGAAGAGGAGAAATCAAAGTTTGAACTAGCATTGATATTTGGGGCATCCCAAGTGGCAGCAGAATCCACTAAACCCCAACACTTACTCTCAGGTGGTTTTGTTGGAATATATTGTGCTTGAGTAGATAAGCTTCTCTTAGATGTGTGCTTTTTTTCTATTTTAATAAATTTTGAAAGTTTTCAACCACTATGTATATTTTCTGTTTCATTTTCTCAAAATTTTCTTCACAGTTTTATTTTTTTCAGGTTGGATAATTTTTAGTTGGTCTGCCTTCTATTTCATGGATGTATTTCTATTTGTCCTATTCAGATCGGTTGTTCTTCTAGACAAGTTTTCATCTCCGTTATTAGTCTTCCTACCTCTGAAACTTGTCGGTATACTTGTTTCTATCTCTTCATTGATATTTTCTGCTTGTTAGGAAATTGTCCCTTTGGTTTCCTGCACCTCTTTGGCTAGACCGAAATTTCCTTCTATTTTGTTGGAAAGCGTTCTATTTTGTTGGAAAGCCGCATATTTTGTTGATTGCAGCGTGTTCTTCACAGTTTTCAGCTTGCTTTAATTGGTTGCTCTGAGTTTTAGGTTTTGTTTTAGTAAATTTTCTAAGCAGTATCTTTAGAGAATGTATTTGTTATATATTGTCTTTGAAATCTCTCCTAGTTATCAGATAATATTTTGACACACTTCCCTGAGCTCCTGGAGTCAGAGAAAATGCTCATTTAATTTTGGCATTCTGTTTCTCTGCTGTGGCACTCTTTGAAAGCTTAAGCAGGCCAACTGCAACTCAGCCTTCACTTCCTGCTTTAACTGAGCCTAAATAGTCTCTGAGCATCAGTTTCCCAATTGTGAAAAAAGAAAAGAAAGTAACTTTCTTACAGGATTGCTTTAAGGGATAATTGCTTGTATGAGGCTGTATATGTAAAAATGTTGTATACTAATATGAATTTTTCAAAATGAATTTTTCCCTTCATTTTTGTTAGCCTTGTGCAGTTGGTTCTGTGGCCCTGTGATGCACACCACAATCCATGATTCCTCAAGGCCCTAAAATCAAGTGGTGTAGGGTCAGGCATTGTGGTGCAGTGGGTTAAGCTGCCAGATGGGATGCTGCCCAAATTGGAATTTTGGGATTGAGTCCTCACTCTGTATTTCAGTTCAGCTTCCTAATAACTTACACCCTGGAGGACAGTAGATGATGGCTCAACACTTGGGTCACTGCCGAACAAGTTCAAATCTTGGTGGAATTCTGGCGTTTGGGGCAGCTAACATTTGAGAACTGAGCCAGGGAATAAAAGATATCTCTTTCTCTTTGTTGCTTCGCATTTTGGATTAAAAAAAATGAGTAATGTCAAAGTGGAATAGTGTTTTCATATAACCTCTTTCATATATATACGTCTTAAAAGACATGTATATTTTAAATTGTCTCTAAATTACTTCTAACACCTAATATCATGTAAAAGTGACTGTTTTATTATGTAGACAATAGTGACAGGAAAAGAAAATCTGTGTGTTTATTGCGGAGGTAACTTTCTCCTGGCATATTTCAGTCTATGATTGGTTGAATGCATGGACATTGTACAGAGTTGTATATGTAACATTGATACTTGATTAGGTATTATAAATAATCCAGAGATTACTAAAATATGTTGTACCTAACTGTGCCTCCTTCTATGGCTGCTGTTGTTGCTATTCTAAATTCACTCTTGTTTTGTCTCTTTATTTCTGTTTATTGTAAGGTAAATTTTCGTTCCTTGAGGTTTTAAATTGAGTTTTATCTGCCTTGGCCAAGTAACTCCATTTATTTCTTTTTAAGTAGAGGGCCAGAAATATGACTGATTTCATACTGATTCTTTATTATTTGTGAAGTCTGTGGTCATTGAAAGAAGGCATGAACTAACTGGAAGCATAACAGTGTATCATAAAAGAGGCAGCTACCCCATAATTTATGGCAACAACAAAGCAATTTAAACTAAATAATCAGAAATGTGTGGAATATTCAAGAGGGTTTGAGAAAGTAGCAGGATAAAGATAATGATAAATTACATTTAAAAACCTTACAATAACCAGATAAAATGAGTAATAGAAAGATATTTGTAAGGAAATCAAAGCATAAGAAATCAAAAACCATCAGAGGCCTTTATGGTTGTCCGACAGTGTGATAGAGGCTGCAGCACGTCCAGGCCTCCCACCTCCCTGCACTTTGGACAGCAGGTTTCAGCCCAGACCTTGAGAGGAGCTGGAGTAAGGCATGTGGAAACTCCTCAAGGAGATCCAGAAGTAGCCTGCTGAGACAGAAGAACAAAGCGAGAGAATAGACCCATGTAAGTGGGGATAGGCCAGCTAGAAAAAGGAATAAAAAGGAGACTTGCAGGGATGAACATCACTTCCTATCCATGCATGTTGATTTCTGATGTCACTCTTCCATATTTGTTGATTGCAAAGAAGTACCAGGCCATTCCCACACCTGCTGTTTGTCCCTGCTGTACGGAGTGAAACAAAATGCCCACTCCCATGATTCCACTGCCTGTTTGACTCTCCCCAGTTTCACTCCATAAGGGTCGCAGCAAGACAGCTCCAAGTGAAGTCCCTTTCCCCACCCTAGGCCTGCGAGAAGAGGCCCCCTTTCTCATTGTGATCTCCAAGCTTAGGTTCCAGCTGTCCTCACTCATGTTTATGACAAGTCGACTTAAATGTTAGTAACATGATGGTGAAGATTGCTTTGAGTCTCAATGTATGTCCAGTTAACATGGTTGAAAACAGGAGTCAGTGTTCTGTCAGCTCAGTGAAGGACTAGGGTCTGGAGCCTGGACAGAGATGTCCAATGGCCTCTCTGTCCCCTGCTGTCTGCTTGCTGCCCTGGCTTAAGCAAGGTAAGCTCTAAACAGATGTGCTCTAAGGAGGAAACCAGTCCCGATGCTGTGGTTTTATGGAGAGGCCAAGCTCTCATGACAAGGAGTCCTTCAGAACTTTGCATCTTGTTTCCAGGCATCACAGCAACCCCGTGGGCACTGAGTGGCAGTGGAAGATGGACCAACCGGAGATGATCTTAAAGGAAGCCATCGAAAGCCATCAGAATATGATTAAGCAGTTCAGAGGTATTTATTTATCTTCCAAGACTGAATGCCTGTTAGTAGCAGAATCATGGCAGAAAATTGCTGCTTTGAGATTGTGTTTCTACTGGCAGATTTTACTATAGTGAAGTGAAAACCTGTAGAAACATTATGTCTATTTTAACCTTTTTAGTTTATAAATCCTATGTAATGGAAGAGCTCTGGATTTGATCCAGGCTTAGCAATGTGTAATATAGCGCATTCACCCTGTATGTGTTGCCTGGGAATGTGTCACTGTCCCGCCCGAAAACCTTTGCCATTTTGTCTTGAAGAGCACAAAGCAGCCCTGTGAATGCACTGGACATTTTGGGTAACTTGAAGTGAGGTGATTTTTAATGTCAGCCAGTTTTGGAAAAGTATATTTCAGTGAATGCTTTATAAAAAAGATGGGATATTATTAATGTAAAAATTTGTATGGGATCTGAAGTAGTCAGATTTTCAGTATAATTTTCTGATTCATTTCTTTCTCATTCTTAACAATATTTGACTTAATAGGAAATAGCAAACTCTTAAACTTTATCATTCATCAGAATTTTTTGGACAATTTGTTAAAACACAGACTGCTGATTTAACTCCCCCAGAGCTGGGTCCTGTAATTTTGAGGGCAAGCCCATAAATGTGCATTTCAGAGAGGCTTCTGAGTGTTTTGATGTTGAACTGGGAGCAGACTTTGAAAACTGCTCCTATCGGTAGATTTGGTGGACAGAGCAGCGATGGCCCTGTACAGGGCCAGCCACAGTTAATGTATTGAAATTGTTAGGTCCTTGTTAAAGGTGTGTCTGCCTGTTTTCCCCTGATGCTGATGACTACTTTCCTATATTCTCTTTTCAAATAGGACCATAAAGAATAGCCCAGCTAATATTGTCTTAATACCAGCAGTCCTATCATGATGACAGTGTATATGAGCTTCTTAAAAATCCCAGGAATTAACATTATAATTTGGGAATTCTTTTACGTTATTGTGGTTTCAAAGAAGTTGTCTAGAGGATAGTGGGTCAGCAGTTGGAATCATACGATGCTGGATTACGGAGCAAAAAATAGAGCATACCTGGGGACATGGGAACCCTTGGAAAGGCACATGCCCTGGAAATGCAACACTGCCACCAATTATTCTTAATAATCACAGCCTTTATAGGATATCCATTTAAGCTGGTAATGCCAGCAAAAGATTTTTTTTTTTCATGTCTTAATTTGGTTGAGAAAATACCACCATGCCAGCAAACTACCTTTACTTAAGCAACCATAACTTTGCAAGAAAGGCTTTGAAAGTGAGAATGGGGCCCAGCGTTATAAGCTAGTAGCTAAAGTCCTCGTATTATCTGTCGGGATCCCATACGGGTGCTAGTTCATATCCTGGCTGCCCCACTACCCATCCAGCTGCTTGCTTGTGGCCTGCAAGGTTAGCACAAAGCCTGGGGACCCTGCACCTGCACAGGAGGCCTGGAAGAGGCTTCTTGCTCCTAGCTTTGGATCGCCTCAGTTCTGGCCTTTGCAAGCCACTTGGCAAGTAAATCAGGAGTGGAAGATCTTTCCCTCTGTCTATCCTTTTCTCTGTAAATCAGACTTTCCAATAATAATAAAATAAATCCTGAAAAAAAAAAAAAAGAAAAAAGGAAGGAAGGAAAGAAGGGAGAGAGGGAGAGAGGAAGGAACAAAATGAGATTGGTTGATGTTTGTGCACTGACGCTTTCAAGTTAGCAAAACCAGGTTTTATTAAGCTAATATGCACTATTTCCTTGTGCAAGTATACAGTACTTCAGAAAGTTCATGGAAAGTGTGCATTATCTTTTAATAATAATTATTTACTTTGGAGAGAGTGACCTCTCTCCCATCTGCTGGTTCACTCCCCAAAGCCCACAGCAGCCAGGGCTAGGATAGGCTGACACCTACCATGAAGTCAGTCCAGATCCTCATTTTGCGTAATAGGTCTCAGCTACCTGGGCTGTGTCCCATGGTAGTTATATTTTGTAAAGTCTGCTTTATTGCTATAATAATCATTTAAAGTCATACTGTGAATGTACAATATTGGGAAAGAAGAACAGAAAAACCAAGGATGAAATAACCACAGCCAGCATACTTGCTAGTGTAATTTGTTTTATTTGTCACTGCTTATGGCTGATGGTCTGAAGTTTGTGTGTGTGTGTGTGTGTGTGTACCGCAACTACTCCTCAGTAAGTAAAATCTCCATTTTCTTTCTTTCATTCATCCTTAGTGGCTTAGCTGTCAAAGAAATAGGTCTCTCTTTGCAGAGCACACTAGCCTCAGAGCAAGGCTGGGGAAGCTGGTGCGTAACGGACACACCACATCATTGCGCTTCCGACCTCAGCGTCCTTGCCTGAGTGCAGGTCTGACCTGGATCGCACTCCAGCAGCATAGACCCAGAGGTCCTTTTGGCCGCTGGCCTTGGTTCTGCTCTCTGGCTTCTCCAAGTCTGAACTCTCCAATCGAGCCTGGCCCCATGGAAGTGGCTTTTCTGTATAGACTTAGCCATCCACCCCACCAGAAGCCACTTCTTTTCTTCCTACCCCTGTGGGAGTTTTCCTGTTAGAGCTGGTATTGTGTTGTATTGCCCTATGGCTCCGTGTTGCTCAAAACAAGATGAAAAACTGAAAGGAAATGTGTGTTTCTGGTTTGTCCCACCGGAGCTTAACTCAAAATACATCTTCCTATAGGAAAACACCTTTGTATTTGATTAAGATGTATTGAAATAGATGTGTCCATTCAGTAATTTAGATGTATTATTGATGAAGACAGAGATCTATATATATTTTTTTACTTTTTAAAAAAAATGTATTTACTTTTACTGCAAAGTCAGATTTACAGAGAGAAGGAGATGCAGAGAAAGATCCTCCATCCGTTGTTTCACTCCCCAATGGCTGGAATGGCTGGAGCTGAGCTGATAAAAGGCGGGAGCCACGAGCTTCTTCTAGGTTTCCCACGTGGGTGCAGGGCCCCAAGGTGTTGAACCATCCTCTACTGCTGTACCAGGCTACAAGCAGGCAGCTAGAAGGGAAGCGAGGCTGTTGGAACGTGAACTGGCACCCACATGTGATCCAGGTGCATGCAAAAACAACCACTAGGCTTCTGTGTCGGGCCTGAGGTCTCCATTACACTGTGGTTGTCTCCATGTGGGCATCTTAGAGGTGCCCTGTTTTGGTTCATTAATCCCTTCTTTACCCTGGCTGGGAACCCCTTGCTACTACTAACATGTACTCCACTCTGGATGAAGGGCACTGCTCTCTTCCACGGGTCTCATTCAGTCATGTCACGATTTTTTTCATACTGTGTCCTAGACCTGGTTCTGAGCGCTTGTGGCTTCTGGTCTCTGAGTTTGGCCAGTGCTGAATAGATTTTCAAGACACTCTCTGGTGTTCTGAGTGCTTCCCGTTTGGTGTGCTGTTTTCCACTCTGAGGGCAATCATTGTCTCCAGTTATTTCCCTGCATCATCAGAAGAGCTTTCTTCTTGTGACCTTTATTAGCTTCCCTTTCATACACGTGCAGATTGAACTTTCTGTTGGTTCAAAGTGGGTCAGAATTTCAGTGCAACTCAGCATGTTTTCAGGACGCTGCCTGCCCCCTTCCAAATCCCACCCTGGCAGGGAGAAATAGCTTGCAGAGAGTGGACTGGGGGGTTTTCTCAGCTCCGTTGATTCAGCAGACAAGTGAAGAAACAGCCTTGGTCCTGAAGATGCGTAGAGGTGGAGGATATCATTTCTTGTGGGCTGTTCTCATCTATACTTTGAGCTAGAAGAGAAACAGCCACGGCCAACGCCATGCTACAGCTGGCCAAGCCTCTGACTGCTGTACTGATATCACATATGGACCACGTATGTACTGGTATCACATATGGACCCCATTTTGAGTACCAGCTGCTCCACTTCTGATCCAGGGCCCTGCTGACAGCCTAGGAAAGCAGCAGAAGATGGCTCAAGTCCTCGGGCCCTTGTACCCATGTGGGAGACCCTCAAGAAGCTCCTAGCTTCAGGCTGGACTAGACCTGGAAATTGAGGCAATTTCGAGAGTGAACCAATAGGAGGGAAGATCTTGTTCTCTCTCTAATTCTGCTTTTCAAATAGAAATAGACAAACATTAACAAAATCTCAAAACAGTAATAGTAGGGAGAAGAAGAAAAAATTAACCTTAGAAAATAAAAACAAAACAAAAAAAGCCCTGCAAAATGAAGTGAAGCAGCACACAAAATTAAGGGTCTATAACAGGTGTTTTTCCCCAGTGAGGTAACGTGCACTTCCAGAGGAAGCGTAGGATGAAAGGTGTACGCCTAGTAACACCTCAGGGCCAGGCACCCACACAGAAGGGCTGGTGGTCAGCTCTTTGCCACAAACTCTGTTAGGAGAACAAAGAAGACAATGTTTTATTCTAGAAAAAAAAAATGAAAAATGTACTTTAATTATCTGTTTTGAAAGGCAGAATATCAGAAACCAAGCAGAGGCGCTCATGTGCTTGTTTACCTCCAAGGTACTCAGAAGAAGCTCGAGCTGATCAGCCACCCCACGAGCCACGAGCCGCTCCGTGTCTTCCACGCGGGTGACAGGTCACAGTTACTTGAGCTCACGTTTGCTGCCTCAGGCACGATAGCAGGAAGCTGGATCAGAGGCAGAATTCTACTCCAGACACACTGAGAGGAGATTTCGGTGTCCCAAGCAGTGACCTGACCCACTTCAGTTCACTGCCTGCCCCAGAATGCTTTCTGGTTATCCCAAACCTTAAACACAGGAATGCTATATGGGCTATGTATCATGTTCGAATATTTGGTTTATTGTTATGACATTGAGATAAACATTTTGGGGCCAAGCACGTTAACATGGCAGCTTAAGTCCTTACCTAGCACGTGCCAGAATCCCATATGGCTGCTAGTTCTAATCCCGGCAGCCTTGCTTCCCATCAAGCTCCCTGCTTGGGGCCTGGGAAAGCAGTCAAGGACAGCCCAAAGCCTTGGGACCCTGCACCAACATGGGAGACCTGAAAGAGGCTCCTGGCTCCTGACGCAGTAGCAGCCACTCACCCTTTAAATTTTAAGTGAGTAAAAATTAATTGTTAAAATTCTTGTTCATTAGTCACGTTTCGTGTGCTTCATGGTTAGATGTGAGTAGAGAGTACTGTACTGGGTAGGGCAGATCAAGAACATTTTCATCATTGTAGAAAAGTCAGTTGCTTTGTAACAATGCTGTGGAATTGATTGATTTGTTCGAAGTGAGACAGGGGGAGAGATAGAACTCCCGCCTGCTGGCTCACTGCCCACGTGCCAACAAAAGACCAGGCCTGGACCTGACATGCCGGGGGCCAGGAACTCAATCCAGGTTATTCCAGGTGTATAGCAAGAGCCAAGGTCCTTGAGCCAGCACAGCCACCTGCACAGTCTACACTGCGAGAAGCTGGAGTCCGGTGCTAGAGCCAGATGTTGGACCGAGTTTCTCCGATGTGAGATGGAGACATCTTAACCACAGACTAAAAGCCTGCCCCAGTTGGTGGGTGTTGTTTCTGCTGTACGTCTCGTTTGTAACATGACACAAGGGCGCAGATCTTGCCGTATCTTACATCTTGGTTTGAAATCTGACGCAAATGAGGTGATCAATACACATACATTTAATGGAATAGGATTACCATTACATTTAAAGAGACTAGAATGATTTTAGACTTATTTTGGGGTTTGACTTTAATCCACCGTCTGTTTAGTGGCTCATGGGAGAACTGAAGGTATTGAATGATTTCACAAAAGGAAATGTTATGCTTTAATGTCAGTTTGTCAAGTTTATTTAAAACCTGATTCACTTGAGTAACCAAAAGCGTAGGAGACCTATTCGAAGAAAACTACAAACTATTTAAAAAGGAAATTGAACAAAACCTCAAAAGATGGAATAACATCCCGTGCTCCTGGATAGGCAAAATCAATATCATTAAAATGTCTATACTACTACAAGCAATATACATTTTCAATGCAATTCCAATCAAATTGCCCAAAACATTCTTCACGGAACTGGATACAATGATTCAAGAGTTCATCTGGAAACACAAAAAACCACGAATAGCTAGAACCATCCTGAAAAATAAGAAGTTAGCAGGGGGAATCACAATCCCGGACCTCTGGACATACTATAGAGCAGTGGTTATCAAAACAGCCTGGTACTGGCACAAAGACAGAAAGGAAGATCAATGGAATAGAATAGAAGCACCAAAAGGGAACCCACACAAATACAGCCAATTAATCTTTGACAAAAAGACCAATGACAACTCAAGCAAGTGGGAAGGCCTCTTTAGTAAATGTTGTTGGGACAACTGGCTGATAGCCTGTAGAAACAAAAAGATAGACCCACATCTATCACCATACACCAAGATCCAATCTACATGGATAAAAGACCTAAACCTACATCCAGAAACCTTCAAACTCTTGCAGGAAAATGTAGGAAATACCCTGCAAGACCTAGGAGTAGGTTCCGACTTTCTAAGAAGGACACCAAAAGCAATAGCAGTTGAGAACAGAATAAACAAATGGGACCTCATCAAACTAAGAAGCTTCTGTACAGCAAGGGAAACAATCAACAAAGTAAAAAAGCAACCCACAGAGTGGGAGAAGATCTTTGCACACGATATAGGCGATAGGGGGCTAATTTCCAGGATATACAAAGAACTTCAAAACAACCAAAAAACCAAAACGAACAAGCCACTCAAGAAATGGGCACGGGAAATGGGCAAACATTTCACAAAGGAACAAGTCCAAATGGCAAACAAACATATGAAAAAATGTTCTAGCTCCCTAGCAATAAGAGAAATCCAAATTAAAACATCGATGAGGTACCACCTAACACCAGCAAGATTGGCCCACATAAACAAGAACACCAACGACGCTTGCTGGCGAGGATGCGGGGAAAAGGGAACCCTACTCCACTGCTGGTGGAGCTGCAAATTGGTACAGCCTCTATGGAAATCAGTCTGGAGAACACTCAAACAACTCAAGATCTGCATGCCATATGACCCAGCAATAGCACTCCTAGGAATATATCCAAAACACCTGTTTTACGACAAACCAACATGCATCCCTATGTTCATTGCAGCACAATCAGTAATTGCAAAAACATGGAAGCAACCAAAATGCCCATCAGCAGAAGATTGGATAAGAAAGCTTTGGTTCATCTACTCCATGGAATACTACTCAGCTATTAAAAAAAAACAAAATGCAGTTCTTTGTGGCTAAATGGGCACAACTGGAAACTATAATGCTAAGGGAAATGAGTGAATCCCAAAAGATTAGATACCACATGTTTGCCTTGATTTAACCTGTAATTTTTGTATGGTTGTTTGTTATTTTTTGAACCTGTCATTGATACTGTCTCAACCCAGATGTTTCGAAGAATGGAACTTGCATTATTTTTAACATATTGTTTACCCAATACTATGTCAATTAATTCCATAATGTTGTATATTGATACTGAGGCCTTGTTGGGGCTTTTAACTGACCGGATCTTTACTCTGTTAGACCTATCTTCAGACCATAGAAGGTCTCCCCAAGAGGCCACTGAACTTATCTGGACAATAAGACGCTGAACTTTATGCTAGGCATGTGTTTGCAAGCAATGAATCTCAACTGAACTTGAACTATGGTTATGCAACAAGGTGGAGGAATCCACCATGGGGGGAGGGGTATGGGAGGGGTGGGGGGAATCCCCAGCGCCTATAAAACTGTACTACATAATACAATGTAAGCAACAATAAAAAAAAAAATTAAATTAAATTAAATTAAATTAATTATCCAAAAAAAAAAAAAGATGTTAGATTCCCATAACCTAAAAAGCCATTCATCCAGAAATTCTGGTATGAGATTCATTCTTAGACTTGCGTTAGAGTCATAGAAGACTACTTCTAGATTGTTCTGACTGTAGCCTGTATCGTGTCGATTTGATCCTTTGGGTATTTCCCTGCGCTTTCTTATTTACAAGTAGATTGTGTGTGTGTGTGTGTGTGTGTGTGTGTGTGTGTGTGTGTGTGTGTGTGTGTGTGTGTGTGAAAATCACTTCCTATAAACTAAGGCATCACTGAGCTATGAAAGTGGCTTTATTTCCCCCAGTTTCTTTGTTATTATTGTTAACATGACAGCAACCTCAATCATTAACCTTAACATGATTTAATCTGTTAAAATAAATGTGTGAATTTGGTAAAAGCAAATCCCGTGTGCCGGTCACTCAGCTGAGGCCTGTACAAGCATTGTCCTGTTTAGTCCCAACAAGTCTTACAAGGTCAGGATTGCTCACCGTGATTGGCAGAGATGGCTAGTGACTGGTCCAGACTGGGAAACTTGCTTCTCCACAGCCTGTGCCCAAGGGCCAGATCTCCTCAAAGCACAAATCCTTCCCACAGGGGCTGTTGAAACATGTTTGAGAAAGTGGGTTTCTTTCATTTGCCCGGTTTCCAGGGAGGGACTTGAGGACATTGTGTCCCCTGCTTCCTGTTTGAGTCGAGGGTTGTGCTTGTCAACCTGTACTTGCATTCCGATCGTGTGGAGAGCACTTGGGAAAGACTGGTTCGTCTGTCCCATGCCCAGAATTTGTGACTTGATTGTCTTCAATGCCACATGGGCACTGGGGTTTTTAATAGATCTGTTTGAACAGTAGAGAGAGAGAGAGAAAGCAGTCCTCCCTTCACTGGTTTGCTTTCCAAATGCCCTCCACAGCCAGGACTGCATCAAGCTGGAACTAGGAGCCTGGAACTCCATCCAGGTCTCCCCTGTGTGCAGGGACCCAAGCACCTGAGTGATCCCCTGCCGCCCTGACCGTGCATCGGCAGGAGGTCGGATCTGGAAGCAAAGCCGCAGTAGGGGCTGTGGGTGTCTCAGGCCCGACGCCCACCTCTCTGGATAGTTCTGCGGTCCTGCCCGTGTTGACAGCCAGTGGTGTGCGTCAGTGCTCCCCTCGCCTGTCTGCACATCGGGTCAGCAGGAGCTGCAGAAGCTCATCATTCCTGTGCCTTCCCCAGAGCTGGTGACTGATGTGCTCCGAACTGGACTGAACGTGGACATTTTGATTCCCAGATGAGTCTGATGTGCAGATAGATGGGGAGTCCTCTGGTTTTCAGTCTTGGCTGTGCATTAGAATCACCTAAGGAACTTTGAAAACGTACACTGTCGTGATTGACCTAGGTGGTGGCAAATTTTTTAACCTCCCCAAGACTCCAACATGAAACCCTAGGTGAGAGTTCTCTCTGTCCTATACAATATCCATCAACTAGTTTAGTTTCCTCTGTCAAGATAGTTGAAGAAAGCATGGGAACATAATTGGGGAAAAAAACAAGCTTTTTCTTGTATGAACACTGTTCTTGCAATAACACTGAGTTCGTTTTTGTAGAACAACAAACAAGAAAGCAGAACTCACAAATTAAGCAAAGTGATACATTCTACTTTCCAAATATTTAGCTAATTGGTTTTGCCTGCTTCCTTAGCCCTGAAACTAAGGATTATGTAATAATTCTTATTTGATAATTCTGACCCCCACCTCCTTGTTTTGTAATCGTTTGACTAGTATAAAGAATGAATTTACTTCCTAAAAGCAAAGAATCACTAAGAAACATGTGCTGTCTTCTGCGTGTCCCTTGTTTAGCTTGTTCCCCTTCTCTGTGTCCTGCAGGAGTCCCGGGTGTCAAAGCAGAGCGCTTTGCAGAGGGGATGGCGGTGAAGCACTGTGCACTGTCCCTTGTGGGAGAACCGATCATGTACCCAGAGATCAACACGTTCCTAACGCTGCTGCACCGGAGCAGCATCTCCAGTTTCCTGGTCACGAATGCACAGTTCCCCGTGGAAATCAGGTGAGTAGTTCAGCTTAGGGAGACATGCTTGTGTCCGGGGTCGACTGCTAAGAAAAAGTAACAGGTGTGAATAAACACTCAGAGGATTTGTTCACGGGCTTTGGGAGTCAGGCATGATTCTGTTCTTCAGAGTCCATTCCATTAGGAAAGATAACAGTTACAGGAACAGGGGCACGTATCCTCAAAAGAGAATATTTTTCTTTAATGTTCTAAATGAGAAAAGGATGGTGAAGCTTTTGGAAACACTGTCATTTAATTTAGATCTTAAAATGTGGCTGGAATTGCTACTTGGGAAAGTAGAAACAGTATTTTTTTTTTTAAGAGAAGGCCTTGCAAGGATGACATGGATCGGGGATAATTAAGAAGGCATTTTGTAAATACAGTGCTTTAGTACGTTCAACGGCAGATGGAATTAAGGAATAAATTTGGGCACAAGCTCTGCTCCAGTTAGGGTTCCAGCTTCCCACTGCTGGTATACTTGGAAAAGCAGCAGGTGAGATTGAAATAGTTGAGTCCCTGTGACATGTTAGGGACCAAACTGAGTTCCTGAGTAAACCAATACATGGAGGATATCTGTCTCTTTGTTCCTCTCATAAAGTAGGGCAATCAAAGAATCTTAGGAGATGTTTATCTGTCTACAAAATTTTTGAGATCTATGCATATTTTTATAGTTTATATTTTCCATAGAATTTTTGAATATTCTTGCTAAGAAAGGATCTCAAAATATTGTGCTAAGATAAACATGGAATTCCACTTTGCATAAACTACTTATAGGCATCCTTATGTATGGTTTATCAAGCGTAGAGCAGCAGTTGCACGTCGCGTTGCAGGGGGTGGGAGGAAAATGTGGAGCCCTTTGATAGGATGTTCTCTTAGGAGACCTTGCTTCCTACAATGTAATCCGGATGCAGGGGATAAAATGGAGTGTGCCGGAAACCTAGATGAGGGAAGCACTCTGGATTTGGTTGCAATGCTGCAACCCTATTGACAAGGGTCAGGCTTGGGTGGGAAGATCCAAGGCTGTTTTGGATTGCTTAGAGAGAGCACTGTGTGGGCATGACCAGGGGCAGTTTTCTTGGATCTTGAGAAAATGTTTTACATAATCATGTCAAAATGAATGAGTTCATGCTATAAGGGATAATCAGGAAAGAAGAATGTTTAGGAAAGGGAAGTTCGGTTTCTGGACTTTTCTTATTTAAAAGGTTTCACTAAATTTTTTTTAATGATTTTTTTTGTAAAGGCACAGTGAGAGATACCACTTCTATTCAGTTGTTGAATGCCCTGAATGCCCATACCAGCTGGCACTGGGTCGCCTCAAAGCCAGGAGCTGAGAATGCAGTCTAGTTTGTTCATGTAGGTGGCAAGGACCCGTGACTTGAGCCATTGTCTGCTGCCTCTGACGGTGCACACTGGCAGTACTCAAAACACACTCTGCTACAAGGTCCCATTACTGCTTTAGGGGCCTCATGTTCTCTGCCCTTCCTCTGTTCTCTGGCATGATCTATCAGCTTCCCTGATTGTCATCTCTCAGATGTTTAGTGTTGGCTAAGGCTCCTAACTGATACTGTCATTGTTCAGGATTCCTTCTTTGTAAATGATGGAGGTTTGTGAAAGAAGTGTCGCCTTTGGAATTTACTGTTTATAATCTGAAGTAGTTATGGAGACAGGCCATTTTGCATCAGAAGGCTTTATGACCAAGTCTTTAATGTGATGAGAGACTGCTGGAATCATTAAGATAAAAAAAGGCCAGTGAAGATGGCGTGGCTTCTCTGTTATGAAGGAGGGTCCCAACCAAAGGGGTGGCAAGAGGCCAGCACTGTGGTACATCCCATATCAGCGTGCCGGGTCGAGCCCTGGTTGTTTCATTTCCAATCTAGATCCTCACCCATGCGCCTGGGAATTTATCCCATTATTGGGATCCCTACTACCTATATGGGAGACCTAAATGGTGATGCTCCTGGCTGCAGTGTTGCCCAGCCCCATTGGTTGCACGCATTTGGGAAGTGAACAGACAAATGGAAAGCTCACCCATGCGTGTTCCTGCTCTCTGTTTCTCTCTCTTCCCTTCTCTCTTCCCCACTCTTCTTCCTTCCCTCTCTGTACAACTGCCATTTTGCCTTTCAACTAAATAAGTAATTTTTTTTTTCAAAAAATGGTAATGAGGAGAGAATGCTGCCATAATAAATGCTATTATTTTGCATTTTCAGTGATCACAGTACTTTGCTCAGGAATGACGTATTATAGAGAAGCACTTCACCTCCAGGGGTTCCGTCTGTGAATTTCTCATTCATAGATTCAACCAACTCTGGGTTGGAAATATTTGAAAAAAACAAATGTCTTTAATGAACACGGGCTGACTTATTTTTCTTGGTCCAAAACAATATAGTGTAACAACTATTACATGGTGTTTACATTATCCTTGATATCACAAGTAATCCAGAGATATTTTAAAGTATATGGAAAGATATGCGCAGGATTTATACACTAACCTAGCCGTTTTGTATAATAAGGGAATGGACATCTTTGGATTTGGGTGTCTGTAGGTCGGTGTTTGTTCTGGAAGCACTCTCCCCGAGATACTGAGGGACAGATGCACAGATTGCACTTTTGTAAGGATTCCGTGTGTGTCTCAGTGTTCCAGAGAAGTTAAGGCAATGAGAGTCTGCCAGGTATTTTATTTCTCCAAGATGTATCGATTTATTTGAAAGGCAGAACACAGAGGAAAAGACGGCTAGAGAGATTGTCTCCTAGAATGCCTGCAATAGCCAGGGTTAGGCCAACCCAAAGCCTGGAGTTGGGAACTCCATCTTCCATTTGTGCCACAGGGGCCCAAGTACTTGAAACATTATCTGCTGCCTCACAGGTGCATTAACAGGAAACTGAATTGGGAGGTCAGAGTAGTTGGAATGTGAACAAGGCACTCTGGTATGAAGTTGGACGTCCTAAGCGGCAGCCTGACCCCACAAACCACAGCAGTTGCCTTGTGGCATGCCTTTCTCGTCTCTGGTCAAATTATAATCACTTTTTTTTTTTCATTCAAAGATTTCTTTCTTTCTTTCTTTCTTTCCTTATTTATTTGAAAGCGTTACAGAGAGAGAGAGAGATCTTCCCTTTGCTGCTTTACTTCCATGCACCACAGTGGCCGAGAGTAAGGCCAAAGCAGGAGCCAAGAACTTGATCTGAGTCTCCTGCTTAGGTGTCAGAGAAACAAGTATTTGGATCACATGCTTTTTCCAGGCCATTAGCAGGAAACTGGATCAGAATTGGGGCAGCCAGGATACAAACCAGCACCCATGTGGGATGCCAGCAACACAGGTGGTGGTTGTTCTGCAATGCCGCAGCGCTGAGCCCAACAGCGTCTATCCTTTCCTTTCATATATCACTGTACCACATCATAGAGCATTGTAAGCATTTGTTTAGTGGCCTGCGTTCCATTAAACACTCCATCCATGAAATTCAACAATTTTTCACTCAAGGTTAGCTTTAAGTATCTTCCTGTGTATGTGGTTTCTGCCCTTCAAGGTCTTACTCTCAAAGATTGATAGCAGTATTACAGATATCAAAAACGATGAGTTCTATGGCATATATATTAGATGTCTATTTAAAAGTTGAGAAACTTTTAAACAAAAAATGTCCATAAATAATATTCTTGAGGCAAATGTAGAATGCATTGTGGAATATTTATGGAAAAGTCATAGAAGAAGAATCCATGAGATTATTGAGAGAGGTTTTCTCTCCAGTTTCTTGTTTTAAATTCACTGAATAGATTGCAAAGCCCATTTGGAAGGGGGGAAACAGACCGGAAAAAGCACAGTCTAGATTTAAAGCATACTTTGCAATAAATTCAATAGACAGGAGTGAAATTATGAGAAGAGAATCTGAGAGAAGCGGTGAGTGAGTGATCTTCACAGGAGCAGAGAAGGCAAAGCAAATCAAGGCTCGGGGGCCGGAGGTTCCGCCTGGGGTGTGATCTCAGTGCTGCTGCTCTGGCTGAGTTGCTCAAATCCCCCAATAGGCCGTCATTTGTGCTCACAAGGCCTGACTTTAAGCTCACTCCCAATTTCTGTGGCATACAGACATGGCTCTGTGCCCTCTAAATAGGACTTGAGCTTTGGGTTGTGTCTTGTCCCTTTGAAGTCTTCTATCACTGAGTTGATGGGGTGGGGGCTGGCCCCTCATCCCAGACCCCACAGCACTGCGAGGCTTCAACTGTGTGTGTGTGTGTGTGTGTGTGTGTGTGTGTGTTTGTGTCAGAGCTCGTTTTATTTACTTCCCATGAAAATCTAGTGTTTAGAGAGGGACCAGGTTACAGTAATTAAATGGTTTCAATTTCTCAGAAATGGTTCCAAGTCATTTGAAAGATAGCCAGAAGACATCCCATTTTACCACATTATTAAAATCATTGCTTCAGTCTTTTGAGAGAAGTACAAGCCTCTAGACCCAGTGAAATGTTTAATTACCACACTTGTTATAAACTGTAAATTTCGTATCATGGAGAGCCTGCTGCACGCATAATTTTGTTTTTATTTTTCTTGTTTTACATCTTCCTGTTCTTTGTTAAAAAATAATTACCAAGAAACCTCAAGCCAGTCACTCAACTGTATGTCAGTGTGGACGCCAGCACCAAAGATAGCCTGAAGAAAATTGATCGCCCACTCTTTAAGGATTTCTGGCAAAGATTCCTTGACAGTTTAAAAGCCTTAGCAACAAAGGTAAGAATTATGACATCTTAAAACAAAGGAGGAAAAACAGAAAACTGAGAAGTATTTTAAATAGTGATGAAAAATCCTCAGTGTTTCAGACTTTCTTTTTCTCAGGAATATTCCATGTGTTTTGGTTAATATTTTAATCGTGGTGCTATGCTATCATTTGTCTGTCATAGGAGAGAAATGTAACTGTCCTTCTGAGGACAACTGATGAAACTTGGTTACACAGCAGTACCTAGCAACAGATGTATTGGGAAACTGTGTGTTCAAATCTGCAGATTAATTTTCCTGTGCATCTATAACCCAACTTCTCATCCCGTAAATATCTCAGGATGTCCACATTTAATGTCTTTGCCTAAAGGCAGTTGGCTCTCCTGGTGAGTCCCTTCGCTGGGGTAGGGAGCATCCAACCCGCAGGCAACATTGTCATCATTTGGTCAGGCTCTGCTGAAGCAACCGCAGGTGGGACTCAAAAATACCTATGTAACAGGCTAATTGTTCAGTTGATAATTTTGGATGACCCACAGATGATATTGTAACTATCACTTCTCTCTCTCTCTCACTTCTGCTACTCCCATGTTGCAGGATGCACACTTGATCGCTCTTTGATAATTCCAAAACTGGATGTACCCAGAGGCAACATGTTCTGTTTAATGAGTGGCATTGTTGATTTCATAAAATGAGGCCTGAGTGAAGGGCTGAGTCTCCTGCCCGCTTCCTCTCTGCTTTTAAGATGAGCACTTTCCCATGGTGCAGACTAGCTCCTTACTTACTGAGCTAATTTGTTTTGAACTCCCATCCCTGATGACAGTCTGTCCTTGAGCCTTGGCTCACCTGGGTGATGCACTATCTTTTTTTCTAGGCCTTTACCTTACATAACAGAATGAAAGTTTTTGTGTTGATACGCCTTTGGATAAGTGTATATAGTGTATAGGGTATATACTTTCTGGATCCTATGTTAAGAAAGTACTAGGTTTTTCAAGAAGTCACCAAACTTTTCGCACTCACTTGTATTCTCGCCAACAGTGAGTGTTCCTATTGCTCCACATCCTTGGTGGTTATGGCATTTCGCATTTTGGTGATTCTAATGGAAGTGGCATCTTATTGTTTTATTTTTCCCTGATGGTAGGATGTGTAACTTTTTTCATATGCTTTTTTCATATGAGATATCTGTTAAAGTATTCTTTCGCCCATTTTTCAATTGGGTTGTTTTTTCACTTATTGTTGAATTTAGGAGTTCTTTGTATAGCCTGGAAAAGCATCCTTTATCAAGTAAGTCATCTGCAAGTGTTTTCTCTTAGTCTTTGAGCTTGTCTTTTTGTCTCTAAACAGTATCTTCCACAGTGCAGAAATTTTTATGTATGATATTCTGTTCACAAAATCTTTATGACATGGATTCTGCATTTGGTGTTGTGTTTGAAAAATTGTCACCATTGCTAGTGTGCTCTAGGCTTTGTCCTGTAAGCTTCTAGGATTTTCTTTTTTTTTTTAAGATTTATTTTTGTTTGCAAAACAGAGTTACAGAGAGAGAGAGAGAGAGAGGAGAGACACAGGAAGAGAGCTCTTCCAACTGCTGCAAAATGTCTCCAAATGGCTGCAAAATTTAGAGCTGGGCTGGTCTGAAACCAGGAGCCAGGAGCTTCTTTCAAGTTTCCCACATGGGTACAGGGGCCCAAACCATTGGGCCTTCCTCTGCTACTTGTCCAGGCACTTGGGCCTTCCTCCACTGCCTGCACTGGCACTTGGGCCATCCTCTACTATTTGCCCAGGCCAATTGTTGGGAGCTGGATTGGAAATGGAGCAGCTGGGACTCACGCTATTGTCCATATGATGTGCTGGCTCTGCAGCCATAGGCTTAACGTGCTATGCTATGGCACTAGCCCCTGACTTCTAGAATTCTTAAAAGTTTGTCTTATTTACTTAGAGCTGTGATATATTTTGAATTAATTTTTATGAATGGTATGAATAAGAGTCTGTGTCTTGATTCATTGTTTAATATTTTTTTATTTTGATTTTTTTAATTATGTGGTACAATTTTGTATACTGGGATATCCCCCAAACTCCCACGCCCTGACAGATTTTCCCCATTTTACCACAGTGGTATAATCCTTCGTAAGGAATCATAATTCCATCAGTCTCTTATTTACCTGTACTCCAACATTGCTGGTACAGACAATGTCAGACATTCCAGCATCCCATTGTCTGTACATGTCCAACAATTTCGTTGGGAATCCCTCTTTCGTCTGGAATCCATCTTTCCAATGACCCAGGACGCACAAATCATGGAAAAGAAGAATGATAAAGTGGAATGTACTAAAAGCAGCATTTTCTATTTATCAGAAGACATCATGAAGAAAAAATAGGAAAGTCTAAGTAAAAGAAAATATATTTAATATATTTATTATAGAGTTGAATTACCCGGAAAGTAATACAAATTTGTCAAAAATCAGTAGGAGACAGCCAGTCCAGTGGAGAAGTAAGTATTCAAGACTCTTGAACAATCGCTTCACAAGTAACAGTGATTCAAGTAGCGTGAAGACACACTCAGCTCCTTGAGGTAAATGGAAAACAAAGCAGTGCCAATGTGGAAGACCAACGCTCAGTGCTGCTGAAGATGAGGAACAGCTAGAAGTCTGATACAGTCCCCCTGCAGCTGGAATCATAATGAAGCAACTGCAGAAATCGGTCTGGCCACATCTGGTCGACGTGAACATGTAGCTTGTTATGAAGCATCCTATCCCTAGTTAGGCATGTCTAAGGAATGCATCAGGACAGTACCACAATCACACAATGTGTTATTAAATTGCAATAAACATGCATTTAAAGCTTTTCAGAACAACCCTTCTTGACTCACAAGTATCAAATTCATTGAAAGAAGTCTGTCAAAAAAGAATTTATGTCATAGTAGCATTTTATGCGATTTGTTTAAACTAGCAAAAAAAAACTCCTTTTAACAGCAAGTGTAAGAGACAGTGGCAGTTGCAGGTGTTCTTTTTTTTTTTCTTGATAACTAACCCGTAGAAATACTCCAAACTGCTACCAACAGGGGATATTGGAGTAAATTGTTACATATTCATGCCTCGGAATAATAGATAACAAAAGAGTAAATGAATGCCAAACATACAAACATGGCTGAGTTTTATAAACGCAGTGTTGAATGGTAGAAGCCAAGCACAAAAGATAATGATTCCATCTTTATGCGTTTCAAACACAATCAAAAGAACAGAATACAATGTTGACGTCAGGATATTAGATAGCCTCAGGTACAGCAAGTGAAGAGTGGGATGAGCAAGAGCATATCTGGGTAAAGGGTGTTTTACGGTAACTCCTTGGACTATCCATCCATGTTTGATACGCGTTTCTTCATGGACTATGTGTTGCAACTTTAAAGCTATGCGAAAGGAGAGCAAGCCTTCTCTGGATGCCTACTGCATGAGTTCACACCCCTGCTTTGTTGCTCTCTAGCTGTGTAACTCCGGGCAAGTTACTGAATGGCTCTTGGCCTTTCTGATCCATCAATTAAATTGACAGTCCAATCTGTTTTGTAATATTTTGTTATAAATATTAGACAAATATTACAATTTTTGCTAAAGTATAGACTACACAATGAATATTACTGAAGACTCCCCTGCAAAGCAGCAAAACCCTTTGCAACCTTAGAGTTAACGTAGGAAGACATTGAGAAAATGGGGATGCAGAATTCAAAACATTTGTTGTAAAACTTCTTATCAACAATGAGAAGCACATAAAGCAGGAGTTCAAGGAATTTAAGGAATATGTCACACTGGAAATTAATCAAATGAAAGCTGATATATCAGAAATGAAGAATGCAGTGGAGCAAATTAAAAGTCAGTGGAAAGTCTCCAAAATAGAATGAAGGAGGCAGAAGAGAGAATCTCAAAATTAGAAGATATTTCCTGTCACCAGGGGGAAACAAACAAAAAACTTGAAGCAAAGCTGGATGAAGCTAAAAAAAAAAAAAGAATTCAAAAATTGAAAGACACTATTAAAAGGCCAAATGTAAGAGTGATGGAACTCCCAGAATGTGCAGAAAGAGAAACTGGGTTTAAAAATGTAATTAATGAAATATTAACAGAAAATTTCCCTAACCTGGAGAAAGAATTGGGAAACAACATCCAGAAGGGCACAGAACTCCCAACAGGGTTGACCAAAAGCAATCTTCACCATGACACATGATAATCAAGCTCTCTTCAATTAAAGCATAAGGAAGAGTTCCTTAAATGTGCACATGAAAAAAAATCAATTGACATATAAAGGAATACTATTTAAATTCACAGGAGACCTCTCACAGGAAACTCTACAGGCCATAAGAGAATGGAGCAACATATTTCAGCTTCACATTAACCCTGAATGTAAATGGCTTTAACTTCTCAATTAAGCCTCATGGATTAGACTGGATTAAAAAAGCAAAACCCATCTTTTTGTTTCCTACAAAAGACATATCTCACCAACAAAGATCAGCAGAAACTATCTCTCATGGATTTTAATGGTTTTTTTTTTATTTAGTTTTATCTCTTCAATACACTTTATCATTAAATTCTTCACTAACTCATAGATCATACAACAGCATCATTTTCAAGAACGTTCATGATTTTCATTTCTTCGATGATACATTAGTCATTCAGTAGCATATTATTTAACTTCATAGTGTTTTTCATTTTTTTCTTCCTGTTGTTGATTTTGTGTGTGTGTGGCTTTTCATTTAATGGAATGTATAGTAACTGTGTAATGGGGATTATCATATGCAATTTCATGTTTTTGCAAATTTCTATTTTTCTCCCTGTTGTTGATTTTATATTGTAGCTTTTCAGTTAAGCATATGAATAGTAACTGTGTAGAGACTGACATATCCAGGTGTGAGGATACAATGCAGTATGCATCTCTACTTCCAGATCAAAAACAGACTCCCAATGAAACTGTTAACTGTATCTTGACAACAGGCTGTTGGACGCTCTGCTGTTGTCCATGCCCACAATGATGAACATATGACTGTTTATGAAGAACTATACTATAGTAATAATATAGGGAACTCAGTGGGGAAGAGGGAACTTGGGGTAAGGGAAATTCCAGCTCCCATGGAACCATATCATAAACAATAATAATAGTAATGAAAGAGATTCTTAAAAAGCCAATACATGTTGGTATACAATAAATGACAATGTCAGCAACCACAAGACGCACCATTTCTGCCATCAAGAAATGAGATGAGATCATTAAATAATGAGTAAAAGCAAAGGAGACAAGAGTTTTTAATAATTACCAAGTTGGGGCTAAGTTTCATTGATAAAATTTTCCATAGCCTCAAACTCTTTGGCCATTTTGCTATTTCTTCTAAATCGAATCGGTTGTGAATGTGTCCAGAATCCTATGAGTGCTTAGCCTAGTGTTGGGGATGGTGTGAGGTAGAGAAGAGTGATGGAGGCCTCCAAGAGTGCCGCTTCATTGTTGGTACTTTTCATCTTTCTCCAAAACAAAACCAATTTGCAGATATCCGTGGCAGGTTTAACCTGACCTGGGTTCTCCGGGTTGAAAATGCCTGAGCATCCTCCTTCCTTAAGAAGGAAAGATACTAATGTCAGGATACACTTAAAACGAGTGATGGACTTGTGATTGTGAAGGGACTAAGGTATTGTTACAATATAGGGGAAAACAGTAGAGTGGGGAGAGGGGAGGGAAAAGGGGGAAATCCCCGAACCTAAGGAACTACTTCATGAAAAATAAGAAAAGAACGCTAGGTAGTCCCATCAAGATAAAGACAAAGTTGGGCTCTCTTTCATTTCAGAAACAACGAACTGTGTACCGACTGACGCTGGTGAAGGCCTGGAATGTGGATGAACTGCAGGCGTATGCTGAGCTCGTGAGCCTGGGGAATCCTGACTTCATCGAAGTGAAGGTAAGCCATGGCCAGCTACACGTGACACCCCGGGCTTTCTTTGATGACAGCCGTGGAGCTGATTTAGAACTCGAAATGCAGTCCCAAGATTGTATGCTTTTCATTCGGCAACATATGTCAAAAACCAGGTACTCCTGTAGCTATTTTGAGATAGTGTACAGTACGCTAGTACATTCTTGTTATTAGAGAACTTGGATTTTATTCTGAGGTGTGTGACAATGCAAAGCAAATAATGAAGAACTGTACAGTGGGGCAGGCATTGCCACAGAGAATTAAACCACCGCTAGCTGTGACCAAATCCTTTAGCAGAGTCCCTGGGATGGAGTCCTACCTCTCCTGCCAATCCAGCTCCATTGCTAATGTGCCTGGGGGGCAGCAGATGATGGCCCAGGTACTGGGTTCCTGCCAGTGCAGGGGAGATGTGGATGAAGCTGCTAGTTCCTAGTTTGGGCCTGGTCTAGCCCTTGGGTGTTGCACACATTTGAAACATGAACCAGTGGATGGAAAAATCTATCACTATTTTGTTCTCTCTCTCATTCTCTTGGCCTCTCTCCACCCTGTCAGGATCTGTCATTGCCTTTCACGTCTCTTCGGAGAGGAAGGGTGAGTCTTGGTCTGTGCACACTGGAGCCTCATGTGGGAAAATACAATTGCAGGTTTAGTTTGCAGCTAAAATGTACTGCTATAGGGACTGGCATTGTATCAGAAGTGCCATGTGGGACACTGCATCCTGTATCAGAGTGTGTGGATCGTGTCCTCCTCCTCCTGTGATCCAGCTTCCTGCCAGTGCGCACTCTGATACCACGTGGGGACTCATGTGAGGTAGATTATTGCAGATTATTTAAAATAAATAAACATATAAATAGTGGTTGCTACTGCTTTAAAATAAAATATTGATGTAATATGGAACACTGTTTAGTCAGCTTCCTCAGTTGCAGCTTCTGCAGGGAGTGGTTTTGCTTCGTCCACACCACACTAAACCTGTTTCTTTGCTTGTTCTTTGTTCCAAGTTGTGGGAGAGGAAATCAGCGCAGGTGATAAATGGGGTGTCGATGACAAAGGATGAGAAGGTGGCCGACAGCCACAACACAAGCAGATAATTTGGATAATTCAGGATCATCTGTGCTCATGAGTAAAGTTGGAGAAGTTACTGGCAGATTAGCATGTAGGCGGGAGTGGATAGTCGGAGCAGACAGCACCCTGCAGCAAGGGGTCAGGGAGCCACACTGTGAGGGCCCAGGTGCACAAAGGAGACCTGCCTTCTGACTCTCACAGAGACCAGTTTCTGTCCAGGGTGGTGGTGTCACTCTGAGAGCTTAGGCTCAGTGCCTGGCCAGGGAGTGCCCTACTACTTGTTACTGAGAGAGCTTTGCCGCTCAAAGAACTTTGATGTGGAAGTGCTTTTGTAAGGGCCTGGTACAGTAGCCTACCAGCTAAAGCCCTCCCCTTACTGGGATCCCATTTGGGCACCAGCTCTAATCCTGGCAGCCCCATTTCTCATTCAGCTCCCTGCTTGTAGCCTAGGGAAGCAGTCGTGGACAGCCCAAGAATTTGGCACCCTGCACCCACATGTGAGACCTGGAAGAGGCTCCAGGCTCCTGGCTTCAGATCGGCTCAGCTCTAGCTGTTGCATCCTCTTGGGGAGTGAATTAGCAGATGGAAGATTTTCCTCTCTGTATATCTGACTTTCCAATAAAAATTTTTTAAGTGCTTTTGTATGTTTGAAAGAAGCATCAAAGTATTTTGTGAGGGCATCATAATGAGCTGGGACATTCATTCTTGTTTCATTTCCAAACCAAAGTTCCCATTAATATTGCATGATTTATTATTGCTGAGCAAGAAGACATTAAAATGCTTTGAAAAGCCACTGTCATGATTAAGAGAACTTACCAGAAAATCTTGTACTTTAGTGAATGAAGTTTTTAAACACTAGACAGAAAAACCTTTGAATTAGTTGCTACAAAAGACAGTTGTGGAATTCACACATCATGAGCAGTGAACTAAAAGTATGTTGTTTCATGATTAATTGTGACCTGTCAATAAATATTTTGGTTACAATGAGGACAATTGTTCCACCATGCTTTCCCCATGATTTCTTGCTTTTTCTCTTCCTCTAAAACTCAAGCTCAGTTTCATGATTTCTACAAATCACTGGACCAGTTGAGAAGATTCTCTTGTTAATTGGAAAGGGCTGGGCAGTGTGTAGTTTACATTCAGCAGAGGCCATCTTAGTTGAGGACACCAGCAATCCTTCTGAACTGCCATCTGGACTTGTGCAGAACTCGGAGCTCATCTGAGGCCTCTGCCAAGTCCCACTTCTGCCATCTGCAGGTCAGGACCACTGTGCAGTGCTCATGGTGGGTTCTGTGTGTGTGGATTTAACACCGTTCTGCTTCCTTCAGGCTGTGTGTCGAGTGTGCATGGGTGGAGCACGTGTCTCTTCGTTTCAATTATCCCCCTACTTTTCAACTCACTATGTCCCCTTCGTCCTATGTTAGGACATTACAAAGGCTTAAGTTTAGCATTAAGTGTATCACTTATCTATTTGAAATAAATGTCATTGAAATATTTTCAAAATCTAAACTTGACTTAATGGGTTATCAGAAATTTTCAAGATAGAATGTTCAAGCAAGTTACCAACAGAGTCTGATCTGGAGGTATTGGAAGAGCTCACAGAGTTGAGATTACCTTTCATTAGAAAATTAATCCTGAGGATGGCATTGTGATGTAGCATGTGATGCCAGCACCCAGTAAGGGCGCTGGTTCAAATCCTGGCTGTTCCACTTCAGTAGCACTCCTTGCTAATGAAGCTGGGCAAGCAGTGGAAGATGGACCGAGGATGTGAGACCTGGAAGCAGCTTTGGGCTTCTCCTCCATTGTGGCCATTTGGAGACCAACAATGGAACATAGTCACTCTCTCTCTCTCTCTCTCTCTCTCTTTCTCTCTCTCTCTCTCTCTCTCTCTCTCTCTCCAACTCAACCTGTCAAATTAAGTAAAACAAGTAAAACAAATCTTCAAAAACATTTTAACAAGTTAATCACTTATCATTATGTAATTTAACCCAAAACTGAACTTATTATGTACTGATGATCAAGTTTAAAAGAATTAGAAGCCATATTATTTATTATTTATTTAGATTTATTTATTTGAATGTTATAGTGACAGAAAGACAGACTTTGCATCTCCTGCTTTACTCCCCAAATGGGCTTCACGGCCATGGCTGATACAAGCCAAAGCCAGGAGCCTGGAACTCCATCTGAGTCTCCTGTGTGGGCAGCAGGGCCCAAGTACTGGGCATGTTCTGCTGTCTTCCCAGGGGGCATTAGCAGGTTGCTGAGTTGGATGTGGAACAGCCAGGACTCAAATCAGCGCTCCAATATGGACGGGATGCCATCATTTCAAGCAGCAGCTTAGCTTGCTCTGCCACAGTGTTGGCTCCTGAAGTCATTTTGTCTCACTGCAGTTGTATTTTATAGGAATTTCTGTATCTGTGAGGTAAATATGGATGTGTCCACACATCAAGAGTAAGTTCAAAGGCATCTTGCTCTGGCCCTTGTCAGAGGTGTGCCAGTCTCACTCCCAGTGATGGGAAAATGGAAGCTTGTCTTAGTGCCCTCTGTGTCAGGGCAGCGTATGGAGTCTGCTGTGCTCTCATTTTCACCCCCAAGGGATCCCTTCATGGTTTATCTGTTGGAGTGCACAGAGGGATCACGGTTAAGTGTGTGACTGGGACTAGCTAACATAAATGACGATGTGGCACAGTGCAGAGGTACAGAGCCCCAGCGTTTTCAAGTGGACAAATACAGGCACAGGACCTCCAGTGCTGCTTGGTCGACTCTGTCACTCTCCGCACTTTAACATCTGCAGTAGGCTGGGTCGGGTTGGGTTAAATGACCTCAAGAAGCCCTTCTGTGACCTGCAGGTGGGTCTGTAGTTCTCCTGATTGCTTTGGTCTTTTCCCAGGGTGTCACCTACTGTGGAACAAGTTCAGCCAGCAGTCTGACCATGGCCAACGTGCCCTGGCATGAAGAAGTTGTCCGGTTTGTCCGCGAATTGGTGGATCTGATCCCAGACTATGACATCGCCTGTGAACACGAACATTCCAACTGTCTCCTGATAGCACACAGGAAGGTAATGAGCCAGACCAGAGCCCCGCCCTCCCCAGTCTTTACTGCTGCTTTCTCCTCTCTGGTTTCCCCTCCTTCACTTGTTGTAAACACCCTGCTACTTGTTGCCTTTCCTAAATCAAGCATTAAGAAACCCCTACATTCTGTGGGGTTCATACTCTCTTCTGTGTGAAATGGCTTCCTTTTTTAGTCCTCATCTAGACTTCTTGAAATGCTTTCTGGCTTAAATTTTTAGAAAGGAGCATGGTTTAAAAAAAAAAAAAAACACTCTTGCAGTAACTTCTAGTCCTTTCCTGGAATGACAGGAAGAAATAAAAGTAATAAACAACTCCCATATGAATTTCTAACTGTCAGAAGAAATACTGAGGTATTTATCAAGTTTCAATGAATTTTGGCATCTGGAGAGTTTTGGTTGGCATTTTAGTTATTGACATTATTTCCTATTTTCCCCCCAAAACAAGTTCCCAAATCTACTGTTTCTCTTGAGTGAGTAGTGCCTAGTAAGAGGAAAGTGTAGTTCGGAGGAGAAGCAGGCCAAAGGAGAAGACAGCAGTGTGGCCGTAGCTCTGGCGGTGCTCACGTCCTGCTGAATTCATGCGGAGAAAGTGCTGGGTTCCAAGCAATCAAAGTCCTCATGCTTTCAGAGAAGTCAGACTGTGCTGATCTGGTCTGTGTTCTGTCAGACACTTAATCACCAAGAACGAAAACATTCTGGAAGAATCATGAAACAAAGAAGAATGCCACCTAATACTTGAAATTTCAAAACAAATCTTAAAAACTACCGAGAACTACTTATTTTCTTGCATATAACAGCATCATCATGTTTTGAGGTAAGATAATGACTTAAAAAAATTGAGAGGTAGTGGTGCTTTGGCTCAACTGAGTAATCCTCCACCTCCAAGCACCAGCATCCCGTATGGGCACCAGTTAGTGTCCCAACTGCTCCATTTCTCATCCAGCTCCTGCTTAAGGCCTGGGGAAGCAGCAGAGGATGGACCAATGCCTTGGAACCCTGTTCCCCTGTGGGAGACCCAGATGTAGCTCCTGTCTCCTGGCTCACCTCAGGCCATTGCAACCATTTGAGGAGTGAACTAGCAGATAGAAGATCTTTGTCTTTCACCTGTATGTAAATCTTCTTTTCTAATAAAAATAAACAATAAGTCTTTTAAAAATTACTTGAGGGATAGGTTAAGCAGTTGTTGGATACCTACATCCTACTCCAGCATCCCTGATGCTCTGCTTGCAATCTAGCTCCCTGCTGCTGTGCCTGGTAAGCAGTGGGTGAAGGACCAAGTATGAGAGTTCCTGCCACTCACGGAGGAACCACCTCTCTAATCTGCATGCAGGAGCTGTGATTTCCTGGAATACAGGAGCTGTGCCCCCTCCCTTCCCAGAGTGCTTGGTTCACGTCAGGGTCTCAGTTTGTTCAGGAACTAATCACTTGTTTACCTTCACTTACTTCTCTTTCTCATTGTCTTACCTTTGAAAATCAGAAATATCATTTCCTCTTCTTGCTGGTTTTAGTACCTGATTACCTTCTTTCTTATCACTTAGACAATACATATTTATTATCCTGGATTTACTTTTTATATGTCATCAATGACCTGCTGCTTATTTATTTAAACTACAGACCCTTTCTTATTAACCACTCTTCTGTTTTTCTGCAGTGGCAAGCCAATGCCCTCCACCCCCATTGTCTGCTATAAAGCACTCCTATTATCTATACGTACTTTTCTGACACTGCTAAAGCCAGCTAACAGAAACCAGATCAGGGCCACAAGATGGAACCAGGATAAGCACTTGGGTCATCTTCAGCTGTCTTCCCAGGCACATTGGCAGGAAGCTGGATGAAAGGTGGAAGAGCCAGGATTTGAAGCAGTTCTCAGATACGGAATGCCAGCACTCCAGGCAGCAGCCTATGTCACTGTGCCGCAGTGCCAGGCCCTACGAGAGAAAATTCTTGACAGTTGTTACTATTTTTTTTTTAAATCCCTCGAATGGTCTAGCCTGTGTGGATATGGTTTTAAAACTCCAGATAAATGAGTTTCTGCTACTAATCAAGGGCTCCTTAAAGGACAGGAGAGTAGGAGGGGCAGAAAGTGAGTGACTGACTTCAAACCTGCAAAGACAACAGACTCAGTGCGCACATGCATGAGCCAGTTTCCATGGCTGAGCCACAAGAATGAGGAGATGACCACAGGAGGAAGCCTACAGTGGAGGGTGAAGCTGAGGCTGGGTCAGCTGGAGCACAGGGAGAAAGACTCTGCTTCTAGATTTTCAGCCAGACAACTTCAATGTGACTTGGCTCACATCAGTGTGGAAGTTAATTAAATCATAATAAATCCAGTAAACATGGATTGTTTCAGTTCAAAAACGTTGAAGTCTTCTCCAAGTATTATAATATGCTTCTGATAACAGCTTCTTCCTGCTGTGCCTGGGAGGAACTCGGGTTGCAGCCACTTACTTCAGAGACGCAGCTGGAATTCCTGGCTTCTTTCTTCAGGCTGGCCACAATTAACTGTTGTGACCATTTGGAATGTAATCTAAGTAGATGGAAAAATCTTGTCTCCCTCCCTTCCTGTCTCTTTGTCACTTTGCCTTTCAAATAAATCAAAATAATATCTTTAAATACTTAATTTTTTATGAGAAGGAAACGTGTTTTAGAACAGGTTTTCTTATTGTGGCTGTTTTGTTTCTGTATTTTGTTTTTAGGATTTATATACTTGTAAGGGAGAGAGAGAAATATCCAGGCCAAAGCCAGGAGCCAGGAACCTAAGCACCTAACCCATTACCAGTTGCCTCCCAGAAACGTTAGCAGGAAGCTGGATCATAAGCAGAGCAGCCAGGACTCAAACTGGCACTCCAATATAGGATGCTATATATGTTAGCAGTAGCTTAATGTGCCACACCACAATGGCAGCCCCTAGGAGTTTTACTATTTTATGTTTAAGTTGAAAAGCATTTTGAAAGTTACGAAGCATCCGTATCTCGATTTACTTTATTTGCAGATTCAGTTCTCAAGCGTCGTTTATTGAGAAGACTATCCTTCCTTTGTTAATTATTGATTATATTTACCATTCCATTCCATTGATCTTTGTCCAGTCCTTCAGTAGTGTCACGCACTCGTGATTCTTGTAGCTGTTTAGGAAGTTTGCAAATAGGATGGTGGCAGTTCTCCACCCTGTTACTATTTTCCACTGCTATGTTGGCTGTGCTGGGTCTTTGGCCTTTCTCTGGTTATTTCAGATTCAGATCCAGCTGGGAAATTTGATATCTTGAAATGTTGCATTTTTTGGACCAAGCGTGATTGGTCAGTCATTAAATCATTTCCTTACAAGTGCCTGAACCCCATATGGATTCTGATTCATGTCCTGTCTACTCCCTTCCAATTTAGCTCCTTGCTTTGTGAACTGAGAGCAGTAGAGGACGGGCCAAGGCCTTGGGACCCTGCACCCACATGGGAGACCCAGAAGTAGCTCCAGGTTATTGGCTTCAGAATGGCTCAGGTCTGGCTGTTGCAGCCATTTGGGGAATGAACCAGCAGATGGAAAAATCTTTCTCTTTGTATGCTTCTCTCCATAAATCTTGTTTTCCTTTCCAATAAAACTAAGTAAATCTTCTGAAAAAAAAAAAAGTTTGAATCTTACTGTTGCAATAGCCTTCCTCATTATTTAGCTTTTCCCTGACATTTGTCTGGCTTGGATACTCCTAATAATAGCAGCCCGACTTGCAATTCCAGAATTGTTTTTGGCAGGGATGTGAGGAACAAAGCCTTTTTATTTATTTATTTTTTTTTAATTTATCCATTTTTTTTGGGAAGTCAGATATACAGAGAGGAGGAGAGACAGAGAGGAAGATTTTCCATCCAGTGATTCACTCCCAAGGTGGACCCAATGGCTGGAGCTATGCCCATCTTTGGAGTCTCTTCCAGGTCTCCCCTCGGGTGCAGGGTCCCAAGGCTTTGGGCCACCCGTGACTACTTTCCCAGGCCACAACAGGGAGATGGATGGGAAGTGGAGCCTCCGAAACATCGGGATCCCTGTGATCCCAGTGTGTTCAAGACAAGGCGTTAGCTGCTAGTCTACCATGCCAGGCCCCGAAAATATGGTTTGTTTCTTTGTTTGTTTGTTTGTTTTTGTGACTCACAGCAAAGCAGTGAGCCCTCAGAGGACTTCATGGGCAGGGTCTTCTGGGGCGATTGTGATGATCACGTCTTCCTCTGCACTGCCAGGGTGTTTTGTACTTACTCTTCACATATGCTGTGTTGTTCTGTAAGGATTTTTGAATTTTGATGCCTGAACCACATCCATCATTAGCATTACATAAATGTTGAAAGCAGTGAAGAATAGCTAGGCATCGTTATTGGCCTCATGTTACTTACACGCATGTTAATGTGGATTTCTACATTACTTAGTAAGTCACTCCTGTCCTGTTGGGTGTCTAAATTGCATCTTCCGCCGTGGGAACAGGTGGAAATGTTTTCATTATGTGATCATCCAGCTAGGAGGTAAAGAGAAAGAGGCTCGGTCCTGAACAGCCAGTCCAGTGTGTTCATAAAGCCGGCAGTCTCGGTGGAGTAGGATGGAGTTGAACTGTGCTGCTGTTGTGCAGATTCTGCAGCAGGGGACCTGTCCTGGTCTACAGGGATTCAGGAAGGTTTTCCACAGCCAAAGATGAGAAGTCTGAGGCATAGTTATCAGAAGGAGGGACATCGAGTCACCTAACAGGGACACAGCTCATGAAGAATCAGGAGGTGCGGATTTGAAATTTAAATGTCATGGCCAGGCCAGCTATAGAAGCTTGGAGAAGCCAGAACTGGAATCAGAACGTCCATAAGTTGAAAAATTCCCTCAGAAGAGCCTGAATAAAGAAAAAAGGAAGAAGTTAGAGCCTGCACCAGGGTAATGTCAAGCGGGGGGCAGGAGACACGCAGCTCAGCAACAGTCGGTGGGGTCTGGCCAGGGTTTGGAAATAAAAGGGGTCAGAGAAGGATGTCACCTTTCACTCTGCAGTTTGAGGCTCCCTGCCTGGGAATGACTGCGATTTTTTCTTCCTTTGACAATAGTAGAAACCCTCAGGGACAGTCAGTGATGAGAGGGAAAATGGAGGCAAGAAATGGATCTTACCTCTCAGGTTGCAAAGTTCATAGAGCCCGAGGATGCCATTGAGAAGATTGGTTTCATTGAAAGCAGAACTTTCATACTTGATCAAAGTGATTAATTAAACTTTCCATTTCTTTGGCATGTTTTCCTGTAGAAAGCTCTTGGTTATTGGATTAAAATATCAGACTCTATTTACATTCAGTGTGTTTTAGAATTTTAAACAGGACCCTGTATATTTTCAACATTATTTCAGCTGAAACAGGCTGTTGTTACTCGACTGGGTTTCCAGGGTTTGAGATTTATGAGGAGACAAAAGCATCAACACAAACACTTGCCAGTTTGTAAGTTGGAAATTAGTTGTGCATTAACACAAGTGAATGCCAAACACATGCTTTGAACTAAAAGCCTTTACAGATCAGTGTCTCCTTTAGCACTTCCCAGATCAATATCTCCTTTAGCACTTTATTTTTGCTTTCTTCATTCCAGGTCACTATTCTACAGTAACTTTTGAGAAGCAATTTTCTTTCTTTCTTTTTTTTTTTTTTAAGATTTATTTTTATTTTTATTGGAAAGTCAATTATACACAGAGGAGGCGAGACAGAGAGAAAGAACTTCCGTCCAATGATTCACTCCCCAGGTGAGCGCAACGGCCGATGCTGTGCTGATCCAAAGCTGGGATCCAGGAACTTCTTCCAGGTCTCCCACACAGATGCAGGGTTCCAAGGCTTTGGGCCATCCTCAACTGCTTTCCCAGGCCACAAGCAGGGAGCTGGATGGGAAGAGGAACTGCCAGGATTAGAATTGGCATCCATGTGGGATCCCGGTGCATTCAAGGCGGGGACTTTAGCCACTAGACCACGCCACCAGGCCCGAGAAGCAATTTTCTTAAGAGAGTACAAATTGAATTATTACCTTTTATAAAACTAAAAATTTTAACAAGGCTAGTCACACTAATCAGATATTGCATCCACGTCAGACTAAAAGGCTGGTTTGATTCATTTTATTGGCATTCCAGAATCAGAAGTCATGGTTAAGGCTTTCCTAATAATTCAAGCAAGATTTCATCATGAAAAGGCTTCCATGAGTGCTGCTAACAGCTATGCCAGATAGAAAGCAGCAGCAGCAGCAACTGGCGTTAGCCTGGGTATCAACAGAGGGTGGCACTGAAAGAGCTAACCCCCTGTCAGCAGTGCTCAACTTGCCCCACAGGAACTTGGCTTCTAGTTCCAGGAAGCATTCCTGATGCAGTGACTGGATCTTTCAGGTCTGGTACAGCAGTGGTTTCCAGGGAAAAGAAACCCTTCCTTTGAAGTACAAATTGCTCTGACAGGAAACCATGTTCAGCACATGTGAGAGTTTTCTTTCACATGCTGGAAAAAAATCAGGCTGGCTTGTGTTTTCCCTTGTATGGATGCTGTTTCCTCTGACCCGACAGTTTCTCTTCCCTCCAGTTTAAGATTGATGGAGAGTGGTGGACATGGATCGACTACAGCCGCTTTCAGGAGCTCATCCAGGCATATGAAGACAGCAACGGGTCAGAAACTTTCAGCGCCCAGGATTATATGGCAAAAACTCCACAGTGGGCACTGTTTGGTGCCAGTGAAAGAGGCTTTGATCCCAAGGACATAAGACATCAGAGGAAGAACAAGTCGAAGGGTGTTTCCGGCCACTGAGCTTATCTGACTTCGGGATGCTGAAGGACAGAAGCCGGATGGCCCAGAAGGTTCTTGGGCTCCTATGCTTTGTTCCAAGCATAAACGATGTTGCTTCCTGTAGTGAGATACAAGTCATAACCGGGTTGGAGAGATGACTTCCACACTGTGGTACCTGGGACTCACCTCAATATTTCTTATCAGATTTCAGCCCCTTTCATGACTTTTTATTTTTAGTGAAGAATCACTTTGTGGGGAAAGTAGACAGTTGCCATTAGGATTTAGCTAAAAGTTTTAAATTATATTGTGGTAAGATTTCCTAAAATGCTACTCGTGGCAGTGTCATACAAGGAATGAGTAGCTGAGCCTCTTCCTCTTTCTGGGCCGTTATCTTCTCATGGAATAGCCGCTTCACCTTGAGCCGTACCATCCTGAGCTGAATCTGCCTGCTCCCTCAAAAAGAGCTCAACCACTTCCTACATCTTGATAATACACCTGAAAAAACGTAAGTTGTCACAATTTTCAATTATTTTAAGTCATGTGTCAGTGTATGCAGTTCACTCAGCTGAAACGGTGCTAGCTCACACCCACTCCCATACAGATGTACTCAGAAGGAAACACGTGGAGTGCATCCCGCACACAGTCTTGTCCCAGAAGAGCTGTCACACCGCGGTGCTGGGTCATGAGCCCCACAAACGTGCAGGATTGTGCACTTTGCATTGGAAATATCACTGTCACGGCCTCTTGTTAGGACCACAACCCTCAGCTGTCCATCTGTTGTACTCCTGGAACTTTCCCTGCTCCCACTGCTCTTACCAGCTTGCCTTCAATTGCAAGTCTTTTCTGGTTGAATCTATTATTCCAATTTTTTTTTTCAACTTGTCCAAGTTATTTTATCCAGAAATTCTTTTATTCGAAAATTGAGCTAATAAAATAAACTTTTGTAAAAACGTCGAGCATCATTTCCAGTTTTTTTCTTTGAAGAGCTTTTGGCCCCAGAATCACAGGACCATCCGTCCCCCTTCCCGTTCATGCATCAGCAGTTTTGTAACACCCTTTATTTACACTGAGCTGAGATGCAGAGTCAGCCTGCCCACCTACCTGCTGAATGGAAACAGCACCATGTTTACCTGCAACGGGTGGAGCAAAGTACCACTCTGATAAACACGGGACAGGGGCTGGAGGAAGCACCAACTGTTTTCCTGCCCGTACGCATGCCAGTCTCACAGCTTCACTTCTGATAACTAGACATGTGGAATGCCCCACACCACCCAACCCTCTTGGCAACAGCTGTGGGTCCTACAGTTCTGACACTGGCGTGGATGCACACCCCATGGATTACCAACTCGGTCCTCTTAGATTTCCCCGCACTCAGTCACCTGTCACGAGCAGTTGGTGCCCTGGTGGCCCATAGCTTCTATCTCACCTGACTACAAAGTGGAGGCTACCGCAACACACTTGGTAAGTAATGACTGGTTAGGATGGCCTACAGAACCCAGAAAACAGTTGACTTACTCTTGCTGATTTGTTGTACGGGTTTAAAAAAAGAGACAAACGAATAGCCAGATGAAGCAGCACAAGGCCTGGAGGGGTCCTGAGTCCAGGCCCTCTGTCCTGCAGTGTTGGGGTTGTGCCTGCGTGTGCTCACCATCCCAGCAGCTCTCGGAGCCCCGTGCTAGATGTGTACAGAGGCTTCGTCACATAGAGATGGTCCACTCCACAGCCCCTCCCTGCTGCCCAGAAGGTGGGGGGTTGGCAAGAAAGTTCCAGGCCTCCGACTCTAGCTTGGCCTTGAGGAGTCCACTGAGAACAAAGCTGCCTCTGTTCCCCATGGGACTCTGAAGGATCAGAGATGTGAGGGCAGACCTGTGGCCCAGTGGGTGAGCCACCACCAGGGATGCCTTCACCCCACACTGGAGTAGCAGGTTGGAGTCCTGGCTGCTCCATGCTTCTGATCTGCTTCCTACCAATGTGCCTGGGAGGCAGTGGAAGAGGACACAAGCACCCACATGGAAACCCTGCTGCAGGTTCTGGCTTCTGTTTGGGCCAGGCCTAACGCCAACTGTGGAGGACATTTGGGGAGGAAGCCACGGATGGAAGAACTCTGTCTCTCCTCTCTCCCTCTTTCTGGCATACTGCCTTTCAAATAAGTAACATTCTTTTAAAAGTAGAAGAAAAAAAAATGTTTAAGTCATGTGAAATGCACAGCTGTGAGTCCAAATTGTCATTTTCTGTGGTTTGTGTTTCAGGATATAAAAACTACCCCTGCCTATCCAGTAGTTCAGCTGACATGGAAAACAGTCCAAGCCCTTCACAAGTCATAGTCCCACTATTTCCTGGTTATACCGATACACATCAGTAAAGAACCATTCAGCAAAATATCTTATCTCTTTAAAAAGTCATCTATCAGGCCAGCACTATGACATAGCAAGCTAAGCCTCTGCCTGTGGTGCCAACGTCCCATGCAGGTACTGTTTCAAGTCCTAGCTCTTCCAGTTCTGATCTGTCTCCCTGCTAATGGCCTGGTGGTGGGGGGGTGTCGGGGTCAGTGGTAGAGGGCTCAAGTTCAAGGGTCCCTGCACACTTATGGGATCCTGGAAGACAGAAGAGCTTTCTCTTTTGTCTCTCCTTCTCTCTGTAAATCTGATTTTCCAATAAAAAAATAAAGACATCTTTAAAAAGAAAACAGAAAAGAAAAAAAAGGAGGAAAGTTCATGGTGAAAGGGTCAGTTTACTTTAGAAAGCTACAACCATTGTTATTAACTGTCCCTCCTGACTTTGCCTTGACCAAATGTGGATGTTACAGCCCTCTGGGGAGTGAACTGGCAACACAGATCTGTTTTTCCTGTCCTTCCTCGTTCCTCTGGGCCTCTGCCTTTCAAGTAACTACATGAATTCTTGAAGGGAACAAGGTGGGCCTAGCATCACATTGTAGTAAGCTAAGCCTCTGCCTGGGGCACTAACATCTCATGTGGCTGCTGGTTCAAGTCCCAGATGCTTACTTTTAGTCCAATTTCCTTCTTACGGTCTGCGAAAGCACTGGAGCACAGCCGAAGTCCTTGGCTTTCTGCATCCATGGAGGGGGACCCAGAAGAAACCCTGGGTCCTGGCACTGGATTAACTCAGCCCTGGCCAACTCAGCCATTTAGAGAATAAGCCAGCAGATGGAAAATCTGTCCCTACCTCTGTGTTACTCCGCTTACCTCTGTTTGTTACTCTGCCTTTCAAATTAAAAAAATAACATAAATACTTAAGAGAGAGGAAGAAAGGATGTAGATAATTTAAATCAGGTATGAATGTGGGAACAAAGTAATGGTCACAAAATTATCAAACTGGGGTACCTGAACCTTCAGCCCCAGCTTCCCAAACCTATGAATGGCAGCCGGATTGGAGGTAGAATAGCTGGAGACTCTTCAAGGTAAGGTGTGGGCATCCCAAGCCTCCAGCGCTACAATGCCAACCCTGGAACTATGGACTTAGAATGGGTAAATTTTGTGGTATGCGAAGTAAAGTTGAATAAAGCTAATTTTTAAACGGTTGGGAGGATAGTGATGAATCTGAATGTTTGTAATGAAACTTACCATAAAGGAAGTATATGGGAGAATGAAAATCAATTAATCCTCTGTAGTGTACACCAGAGAGAACAAAGTCAAAGAAAAGTCCAGAAAAAAGCTCAGGTGAGGAAGGCCTTTCTATGTTTCAGTTCAACATACTTATTTTCATTTTTATATGGAAAGCAGAGAGACAAAGAGGGGCAGATCTTCTGACTACTGATTGATTCCCTATGCCTGCAGCAGCCTGGGCTGAGCCAGGCTGAAGCCTCAAGTCAGCAGCTCCGGCCAGGTCTCTCCCGTGGGTGTTGGGAACCCAAGATCTTGAGCCATCATCTGTTCCCTCTCAAAGACAGTAGCTGGAAGCTGGAACTGAACCAGACCCTCTGCTTGGGATACAGCTTAGCCTGCCGAGCCACAGTGCTCTGAGCTTTTGTCTTTGAACTTGGGTTAACAGATTTGAAGGGAGAAAAGCACTTTGTATTTAACAGTGTTTTAAGACATTGTATAGTTATGAAAAGCAGGAAAGTTAAAATGTAAGATGCAGTAGGCATTTAATAGTTCTTGAAAGAATGGCAGAAGGATTGCATTACGCCATGCTGTCACTCCTTCTACAAGGGACATGTGTTTTGTGAAGTTACAGAGGACTGATTAAAACAAAACCAGAGGAGCATGAGCCCTATCCCCCAGTAGCTGAGACACAGAGGTCTACATTGAGCTCCAAATTCATGGTGATGGGTCAACGCTGTGATGGAGGAGGAGAGGTGGGCCAGTGTTAAGGCAGTTGGGAACTAGGGAGATTTCCTCCTTGGAGGTGTCAGGAGGACCTCTCAGAGGAGGTGTGCACTGACTAGATTATCACCTAAGACAAGAATCCCTGGAGTTTGGAGGCATGCATCAGGGAAGAAGGGTATGGCGTGGTGGCTGTGGTGTGAGGCTTAGAACATCAGTGGCTGTGAAAAAAGGCACATGGCTTTGCTAAGCATTGATGCAGTTGACACAGGAAACGTAATGAGTGGTGACTCAGGGAGAAGTAGGCCAGACCATGCCCTCAGAGCAATTATGCAAAGGAACACGACTAGATTTGCACTTTGATTAAAAATCACTCTAGCTGCAGTTGGAAAATGGCTTGGAGAGGCCCAAAGCCAAAGAGATGGCCCGGTAAGCGTTTATGCAACAGGCAAGAAGTAATGGTTTACATGGTAGTGCTTGCGCAATATGTAACTATATGTGCTGGTCCTGGTGACTGGAGTGTAGGGCTGTGAATGGATATGAGCAAGAACAAAAGGGAATGGATTTGACCACAGATCATTTAGACATAGTGGGAAATAAATGACAGGGTGACTTCTGGGCTTCTGGTCTACCAACATGACACATGATGGGACCATCCTCCAAGCTTGCTAATACTGGGAGAGACCCAATTCAGAGGGAGAACTTGAGTCCATTAGTGGTAGGAGTAGGCTTGGAGATGCCTCCAGACTGTGAAAGTGAAAGCTCATGGCAGCAGTCAAATAGCTGAGAAGTAGAGTGGACATAGAAATGTGTGAGTCCTCAGC